ACCAGGATTAAGTAGTGAACTATCTATTGTTTAGGACCAGGATTAAGTAGTGAACTATCTATTGTTTAGGACCAGGATTAAGTAGTGAACTATCTGTTGTTTAGGACCAGGATTAAGTAGTGAACTATCTGTTGTTTAGGACCAGGATTAAGTAGTGAACTATCTATTGTTCAGGACCAGGAGTACGTAGTGAACTAACTGTTGTTTAGGACCAGGATTAAGTAGTGAACTATCTATTGTTTAGGACCAGGATTAAGTAGTGAACTATCTGTTGTTTAGGACCAGGATTAAGTAGTGAACTATCTATTGTTTAGGACCAGTAGTGAACTATCTATTGTTTAGGACCAGGATTAAGTAGTGAACTATCTATTGTTTAGGACCAGGATTAAGTAGTGAACTATTTATTGTTTAGGACCAGGATTAAGCAGTGAGCTATCTATTGTTTAGGACCAGGATTAAGCAGTGAACTATCTATTGTTTAGGACCAGGATTAAGCAGTGAACTATCCATTGGAATCTTGGTTGGAGCAGTGTCAGCTCTTCTCTTCCTCTTGGTCTCTCTTCTAGGATTCCTTTGTAAGTGTTTTCTAAATGTATTTTATTACATATATTTGGATATATTTGGATATACTTGGATATACTTGGATATATTTGGATATACTTGGATGTACTTGGATATACTTGGATATACTTGGATATACTTGGATATACTTGGATATGCTTGGATATACTTGGATATACTTGAATATACTTGGATATACAAAGATATACAAGGATATACTTGGATATACTTGGATATACTTGGATATACTTGGATATACTTGGATATACTTGGATATACTTGGATATACTTGGATACACAGATACACAAATACACAGATACACAAATACACAGATACACAGATGCACAGATACACAGATACACAAATACACAAATACACAAATACACAAATACACAAATACACAAATACACAAATACACAAATACACAAATACTTACTTACTTGTTACTTGTGTGGTGGTTTGCAGGAGACCTCTAGGTCCATGGCGCAAACGTCTGTGGTGTCCTCTGGAAACTGCGTGACTTTTCGATAAGTTATTCATCTAGATGCTTCATAACACAGTTCCTAATAGCACAGAAAGACAGATTAAATGACTAATTCCTCCAATTTAGTCTTAAAAATGGTGACATTCCTGGACTCCTTGACTTCAATTGGTAAGTTGTTCCACAGGGAAACCACTCTGACAGAAAAGAAATTCCGTCTAATATCTGTCTTAAACCTTGTTGCGATCAGGTTTTTATTGTAGGAAGTATTTCTCGTCAGTCTAGTGTGTTGGTTATCAACAGTACGAAACCAAATTGACGGGTTGACTTTGTCAAAGCCGTTAAGAATCTTGAAGGTTTGCACTAAATCATAGCGTTTCCTACGGATCTCAAGGGTTGTAAGACCAAGTTCACTTAATTTGTCTTCATATGTTTTGCTCCTTAGTCCAACTATCATGTTTACAGCTCTTTTCTGAACTCTCTCTAAAACCTCAATGTCACCAACTAGCCATGGTGACCATGCAGGTATAGCAAATTCCAAGTGACATCTAACGAATTGTTTGTACAATTGAAGAAAAACCTTTTTGTCCCTGTACATAAATGCTCTTGAGATTTGGGGGAGAACTGCTGAAGCTCTTCTAGACGCATGGACACATTGCTGTGATGGTTTTAGATTGTCATTGATGATGACACCAATATCACGTTCATTGTCTACTACTTGCAGCGGTTGACCTGCCATAGTATAGACGTTTTTGATGTTATTCCTCCCAATATGCATAATCTTACATTTCCTATGTTGAATTTCATGCACCAATACACAAATACATAAATATCTGTATCTAGTCTGGAAGAAGCAGTGTGAGAGTGCCTACTGTTACCTCGAGGACCCCCCTAAACTAGTTGCACCTGTTGGTATACCGGACTGGGAGGGAGAACCAGGGAGGAATCCAGAAAATTCAAACTCACGCAATCACAATTTTTATTATTTATTGACTAAGGAACTTGATTTTTGCCAAAAAATAAAATTTTCTGATACCTTTGTCTTAGCAACCTGATAGCATGTAAACCTTTGATATTTCAATTTTAGATTAGTTGATCTTATAGAATTCATAATTTAAAGTATCAACGCTCTATGACATCGGGTAGCAAAGATATAGGGATTGAAATATAAGAGTTTGTGGCAAAAGATCAAGTTTTAACAGACACAAAACCTGCAAAATTAATATTGCAAGGGGTTGTATTTTTGAAAGTTTCTTAAATATATTTGCTAAAAAAAGAATTACACCATTTAACACTCCAATGCAGTACTCATGGCGTAAATGTTTTATTTACACAATAATATTGAATAAGTTCACAACATGGAAAGTGTATTTTCCGTCTGAAAGCTAATTTTCCAACCCAATCTCATCGAATTCAGAAAATTGAATTTTATTGATCCCTGGAATCAGGCCCTGATGGGGAGCATGGTCCCGTTAATGTTGTCGACTTCCCGGATCATGTAGCTAAACTACACGCCGACAGTGATATAGGTTTCAGGTAATCTTCCCGGATCATGTAGCTAAACTACACGCCGACAGTGATATAGGTTTCAGGTAATCTTCCCGGATCATGTAGCTAAACTACACACCGACAGTGATATAGGTTTCAGGTAATCTTCCCGGATCATGTAGCTAAACTACACGCCGACAGTGATATAGGTTCCAGGTAAAAATTCACAATTACTGGACCAGTAATGTTTGAGATATTCTCGTTTTTATACTAGAAAATTTATAACACGGCTCAAACAATTAAAGCGTATTTAGGGGAGCCCCCTAAATAGATTTAATATAGACCAGAGCAAGTGACGGAGCTCATCCCTATTTTCATTATATTATAACCTACAGGGCATTATACTGTCTGTAGGTAAAAGGTTAATAATATTAATTATAGCGTCCAGTCCCCCTAGAAAACTAATCTTTACCTGTTCAAACTGGAAAAATTGTCTGTGAATTTAAGAATTCGACCATTCACCCCTCTTTCTAGGCAGGGGTTTAAATTTTCATGATTTTTATGCTCTCTGTAGGGAAATAAATGATAAATTGTACCTTGAAAGTCAAATTTTTTACATCCTTTTTGATATTTTTAACCGAAAATTTCATCCATATTCCCCATAAATCAGTTATTTCCCAATTCAGCAGCAAATAAAAACTCAAATGTTTTTTTTCAAGAAAGTGTCCACCCCTGCTAACAGGGGGGCAAACAAATATTTGGCCTCCTCCACCAAGATGTTATCCTGTGTACGCCCATTATTTTCAAAGGGGGGGAATGATTTTTCAAGAAAGTATTCACCCTTTCTATTAGAGGGGTTATGGGGGAAACACAGGGAGTAAGGAATAGAAGGGAGATATAACTCACGCGGTTCGCCCTACCATATTATTATTCATGCTTTGCTGACGTATACTTCAATTGTATATGAAATATTTGTCTAATGTACAATTACCGCGTATGCAATAACATATTCTAAATATTTCATTTAAATAAAGTACCGTCTGCAAAGCATGTATAATCATATGGTAGGGGAACCGCGTCAGCTATATCTCTTTTCTGTTCCCTACTCCCTGGGAAAACATATGTTTGGCCTAGATGTTATCCTGTGTACGCCCATGCCATTAATTAAATTGAATTTGTTGCTTTAGTCGAGAGTATAATGAGATACTGAGATACAGCGTAGATTCAGTAAATGCTACCAGTGAACATTCAAGTCACCCAGACAACAAACATAAAAACAGGTTTAAACCAGTTTAATTTCATTTCTAAGCAAAATTATATTATTTTTCAATATTTGGACCAGTGCTTAGGATCCGGGTCCGCAAGATTTTGGCTTCCTGGATCCGGATCCGCAGAAATATATAGATCCCCATTGCCAAGGAGCAAAATATCAACCAAAAACGGCAAAAAAAAACCTTTTTATTCTCAAAACCCAAATCTGAACTGTTTAACCCTATTCCCGCTGGGGGGGGTCAATTTGACCCCCCCCCCACCCCCCCCAGCGTATCCTGGTTTTCAAGTACCCCAGCGGAGATAGGGTTAAATAAGAGAGATTCTGAACAATTTCCTGATCTCTGAAGTTCTAGCATAATAATAAGTGAAAAAAAGGAAAATAATTTCACAATTCTGCTTTGTTAAAAAAAAATCAGTAAATCTTTAAGAATTGTTCATGACCTGGATCCGGATTCGGATTCTCATCTGCATCAAAATTAAATGGATCCCAAGTATAATTCAACATTATATGTTGTCTTTGAGGTTAAGTTTCTCGCCAAAATGAATTCTTTCCAGTAAACAACATATTTTGATTATAAAAAATGTCCTGAATTCTTTAGTTGCAATTCAGCGGCAAAAAAAATTTTACGATACCGGAATATAGCGGTGTTTATATACCTGAATATTGTGTTGTTTAGATACCTGAATATTGTGTTGTTTAGATATCTGAATATTGTGTTGTTTAGATACCCGAATATTGTGTTGTTTAGATACCTGAATATTGTGTTGTTTAGATATCTGAATATTGTGTTGTTTAGATACCTGAATATTGTGTTGTTTAGATACCTGAATATTGTGTTGTTTAGATATCTGAATATTGTGTTGTTTAGATACCTGAATATTGTGTTGTTTAGATACCTGAATATTGTGTTGTTTAGATATCTGAATATTGTGTTGTTTAGATACCTGAATATTGTGTTGTTTAGATACCTGAATATTGTGTTGTTTAGATACCTGAATATTGTGTTGTTTAGATACCTGAATATTGTGTTGTTTAGATACCTGAATATTGTGTTGTTTAGATACCTGAATATTGTGTTGTTTAGATACCTGAATATTGTGTTGTTTAGATACCTGAATATTGTGTTGTTTAGATACCTGAATATTGTGTTGTTTAGATACCTGAATATTGTGTTGTTTAGATACCTGAATATTGTGTTGTTTAGATACCTGAATATTGTTGTATTGTTTTGATACCTAAATATTGTCGCGTTGTTTAGGTACCTGAATATTGTTGTGTTGTTTAGATACCTGAATATTGTCGCCTACGACCATAGTCGAGTTCAGCTGTCGGTCCTACCAGGGCAGAAGAAAACATCTGATTATATCAATTCTAATTATATTGACGGTTTCCAGAAATTTCAAGCGTATATAGGTAACTCTAAAATAAAAAATGAACCAGAAATTTAAAAAAATTAATTTTCTTGTAACTAACCCTACATATACGGAGAGTCAGATTGAAAACGCTACCCTTCAATCCTTTGTTTGATTAAGTGACCCTGCATATACGGAGAGTCAGATTGAAAACGCTACCCTTCAATCCTTTGTTTGATTAAGTGACCCTGCATATACGGAGAGTCAGATTGAAAACGCTACCCTTCAATCCTTTGTTTGATTAAGTGACCCTACATATACGGAGAGTCAGATTGAAAACGCTACCCTTCAATCCTTTGTTTGATTAAGTGACCCTGCATATAAGGAGAGAGAGATTATGTATGTGGTTTTCCATTAAGCTGCCAATACAATGAAGGAAACTGATATAATTTACAATTTTTAAAGATCTTTTCCCATTAATGATTAGACAGAGGATAAGGGTACCATTGTTAATTAGACAGGCCACTCTAATAAATGATGGGTTACTTGAAGTTGCGTCAACAGTTTCTTCAAGTCTTGTTCCGACTTTTCTTCTGAAGTAGATATTCTAATATAATTCTAATAATTTTAGGATCCCAGGGACCTTTGGATGAAACCTTTGATTCATTTTGGCGGATGATTTGGGAGCAAAGGGTTCATGTTATTGTTATGATAACTAACCTAGTGGAGAGGGGGAGACGAAAGTGCGACATGTATTGGCCGAAGGTAATTATTTTAGCGGCTGCTGATATTTATCCAAAAAAATATGGAAAGGTTGATTTTTTTTCAAGAAGATATTTGACAAAGGTACAGAATTAGCATAATAGTATATTTTAGCAGATATTGGCCAAATGGTTTTTTACGGATATTTATATCATGGACACATTTTCGCAGGGTTGGCATGAAAAAACCCAGCCAATAAAACCCACTTAAAAAAAACCACCTGTAAGTGGACTTTTTTGGGTTTTATTAGAATTTTTCTTTTTATGCCCTTTTTCACTCTTCAAAAAAATAACGTCTCCTATCAACAATATTGATTTTTAGGGAGTTTACAGCACTAAAACTGACACATTTATTCTCCTCTCATGAGTTTTCAAAATATGTTTCGATAGAATAAGGATATAAAATCCCTTATCATTCTTATGTGTGAGGGATCTGAAGTTTCTTCTGAAGCATATAAACATCTACCGATTAATCTGAGTAGCCCCACTGCCCCACCCACAATCAGAAATACGTATCCAAGTGAGAAAATAGAAGTAGTCTGAAATTCACAGAACTCTAATAACAAAAAAATTGCAGTATTCATCTATAAAGGGCAAAGGCCTCCTAAGAAGAAGGGAGGGGATATTATTGTATTTGAAGAGTATTTATTAGCACAACAATATTTTTATTTTTCATAACTATAAAGTTCACCTATTGCTTAAATAGTCTTATTATTATAAATTTGTATGAATTTTTGTAGGTTTCAACTACTTCCATATTGAAAAACCCAAATAAGTCTCACAAAAAAGACTCAATTAAAAAAAATAAAACCCAATGAGCTGTTTTTTTTAAACCCAGGTTTTTTTCCAACCTCTCATTTTTGGGAAAAATTGACAAATGAAAGATCTATGCTGGAAAGACAGGGGAAGAATGTTTTAGAACTCTGATTTGTCACAGACCTGACACCGACTGTCAGGGTTGGAACTTACTTACGGTTTGGAATTTGTCCCCTCTGCATTGACAATGTCCATTGTCCCTGTTTATTAGAAGGACATTATTATGGAAAAATTGTAAAAATGTTAGTAGTTCAAACTTGAAAATTTGCGTGTAAATTTAGTTTGTGTGTTTTGACGGTTAAGCTCAGATATAATCCAATTTGAAGAGGGATATAAGATTATTCTTTAAGCGTTAAAATTTAAATTATAAATTATAAATTTCAAATTGTTTTACTATTTAGGAAGGAACCGCAACTTACGGACAAATTGATGTCACACTGGTCAAAGAAGAGGTAAATCAAGTTTTGGATTTAAAGAAACTGATTGCTCGCTTACAACTTTTAATCCTCGTTGCATTATTGCATTAGAAGACGCTTTGTATTTTAAACGAACTCTCTCTACTAGATCAACTAGTCAAAATTCTAAGTATTAGAGGTTACACCATCAGGCCGCAAAGGTATAGGGATGAGAAAATTAGGGTTCGATGCAACTAATCCGTTTCCTTAGAATTCCAAAAAATAACATTTTTATTCTTTTAACTCTTCCATTTTTTTCATCTTCATTCCTTAATGAATTGATTTGTTGTCTTATTTCTAGTTTCGTTACTTTGCGATCACCTTTTATTAATTTATCTTGTGCAAACATACCACATGTTTTCAGGTTCGGGCAAACTACACGTTGCGGCAAATGCGCGTGAAGCACCGGAAATTAAAAAAGAAGAAATGGATTTGTAGTGAGCGTGAAGTAAACCAGTTCCATTACACAGGTCAAATTCTTTTCTTAAAAGGACTGTAAAGGAAAACTTAAAGGAAAACTTAAAGGGGGTATAGGATGAAACCTAAGAATATAAACCAAACATATGAAACATCTTTCTGATGTTCTTGTCTTGAGAAATTGATAAAAAACTGTGTTAAATTTATACGTAAACTCATATATATGCAATTTTGTTTAAAAGTTGTAGTATTAAACAGATCATATTCAACAAATACGCAACCAATCTGAAAACGACGATATCTCACAGGAGCCTGAGAATCTCAGGTTTGCTCCTATTATATTTTTTTTTGCAATTTTTATGATATTATTGATAATATTATTACATTGCATTATAGTCCATATTACGTCACCAGAACTCAAGCCAATGGTAGTGCAGTATACTGGTCACGTGATTTCCGTCTGTATTACGTGACAATGATACAGGAACATCAGCTAGAACCCTATTATGTATCGTTCAACGCCTGAGATTCTCAGGTTTCATTCTATACCCAGGGGGGGGGGAATTTGCCCCCCCCCCCTGAATTTTCAGAATAGCTTCTCAATAACATGCTTAAGGGAAAGAAACCCTAGTGCACAACAGGAAAAATATCTGTTTTAATAAACTATAATGTGTGAAAAGTTAAAAATATAGTTTTTTAGTCTTTAGTCATTAATTTTGACTCTTTTTGAGTCTTTTAAGTCAAAAAAAAATTTCGCTTACGGCGCCATTTTTTGTTCCTAATTATGAATTTTTTAAATGATATCTTATAAAATAAAATTTTCAGTCTTCGCCCATTAAAAATGATATGGGTTGGTTTAGATGTTAGTGAATGTATAAATAGGAGAAATTTTAAATAGGAGAATTTTTTTAAAATTCTGTCAGCAATAGTATTTATATATAACTGTATTTACATGTTTCAACAATTAATATCTTCATTAACATTGAAGCATCTTAAATCTTTCTTTGTGAAGATTTTTTTCCTAATGGTGTTTTTTTTTCTGCAGTGAGTAAAGTTGCAAAAGGTCGATAAATTTTATAATTATGTCGAATAATGCACTCATACACGTAACTTATGTCAGTCGGCTTAAATTAAACTTCAACGAGTGAAAGAAACCGACTGAACGCATCATTTTAAGTAAGAAATTCATTAGTATTAACCTCAGGTTGGCCGGACCACGGGACCCCGGAGGCCACCCTCCCCGTCCTCTCCTTCATCAGAAAGTCCGTGGCCTCCAATCCTGAGGACGGAGGCCCCATTATCGTCCATTGTAGTGCCGGAGTCGGCAGAACAGGGACGTATATCGTTATTGACGCAATGATGAAGCAGGTAAATCGTAGAAAATATTTTCAGGGGAAAATATAAATCTTGATTGTTAAACCTGGGTTGGGAATTTATTAGAAATAGTTTAACATGAAAAAATATAAAGCTTGATTGTTAAACCTGGGTTGAGAATTTATTAGAAATAGTTCAACATGAAAAAATATAAAGCTTGATTGTTAACCCTGGGTTGGGAATTTATTAGAAATAGTTCAACATGAAAAAATATAAAGCTTGATTGTTAACCCTGGGTTGGGAATTTATTAGAAATAGTTTAACATGACTAAATAAGAATTCCAAACTCGAATCACTAAGTTTATATTTATTTATCAAATCAAAATACAACTGTGGAATCAAAAGTTTTTAAAGATGTTCATTCTTTCATTGAAAGACTTTTAATTTGTTGACTTTATTAATTGATTTTTTAAATATTGATTAATTTATCATTTTACCGCCATTTTACCAACATAACCATTTTAACCAACCTATGACAGCGTGATATTAAGTCACTTAAAGAACCCTGGGGACAATTATGTAAAATAACATTTAGCTCTTTTTCGTGAAAAACTCGCTCATTTTTATCTTCAACAACAATTCAATTGTGTACAACTACTTTTTCGGAAAATTAAAATTTTTATCTAACCACGGGTTGAAGTTGTTAATAATTATAACGTAAACAGCGTGCGCAATGATTTTAAAATTATAGATCTTTGATAATTTTATTTAAATAATTTTGCGGATTCATATTTAGGCGGCTGCCAAGAATGAGATGAATATATTTGGTTTCCTCAAGCATATTCGAAGCCAGGTAAAAAAGTAAACTTTGGACCTAGATTAATCCTAGATATATGAATCCCTGCATTTTTGGCTGAATAAAAAAAATAACTAAAGATTTTAATAATTTAAAAGTTTTAAGGTCATTAGAGTCTCGTCCTTTTTGGGTAACCCTGTAAAAATATTGCACTGTTGTAAATCCTCGAAGATAACTTTATTTGCTTACGGTCGTGAGATGGAAAACGATTTTTCGGAAAATTTCCAAAAAAATGAAGTCTTTAATGAATTATTTCAGAGAAACCACCTGGTTCAGACGGAGGAGCAGTATATCTTCCTTCACGATGCTCTTGTAGAATTCCTAGCTTCCGGAGACACAGAGGTCAGTTCAGGAGTTCCTCTAGTTTAACCTATATCAAGTTGAGCCCTGTAGATTAGCTTATGTTTAGTTTAATAGTTACGCGCTGTGGCTTAGCCAATGTCAAGAAGTTTCACCCCGTTAGTTTCACAGTTTCGTTCTGTAGCTTATGTATTACCAAGAAGTTTAGCCTGGGAGTTAACGTAGCTTAATTATAATACTTGTAGCTTAACTCCATTTTAGTCCATGTCGGGTTCACTTTCAGATCTTGTTATTACTTCTAAATTGCTGTTAATTGTTGCCGCTCACTATGGCGCGATGAATTTCAGATGAAAGAGAATTTATTTTATATTTTTTTTTTTGGGGGGGGGGGGGGGGGCTGCAAACACTACAGAATTTTAGTCTGTTTAATTTCATTTTTCATTTTGAACACTCCCTTTAACTTAATTAAAACTTCGGATTGTATAATGGATATACAAAATTAAAATTCTTGCTTTTCTTTGGTAATCACTAATCAAGAAATAGAAATAGTTCAAGGTTACTCAAATTAATAACTTTTGAACACATCTAAGATTTTTAAACTAACATGATGGGTTTAAATGCTCCAATCAGCAGTAGTAGTTCAGTAAACAGAGACTTACTTCACTTTATAAGCTAGTAAAACTATTTTCTTTAGAACATAACCAACTATGATTCAGATTGGTATACAATCAAATCATGCAGCTAGGGAATCCTACTTTCCCCCCCCCCCCCAGACTCGAAATGAATTAAGTGAGGTCTTACAACTTCTACCATATTAAAAATAAAAGTTAAAAGTGTTGTCTTTGAATTAATTATTCTTATCTTAATCATTTTAATTTCTAAAATGAAAAGTAATTATAATTCTACTTTTGTATACAGCGTTTAACGTCGTCTTCATATTCTTAGTTTTATACAAATATTCTGTCTAGGTTGCTCTGGAGGATATATCTGATCATATTCTCTCATTGGCCCAACCCGTCTCAGATTTTGAACCAATGACAAGGCTGGAAAAACAGTACAGTAACGTTGTCACGTTCTCTCCTTCAGAATACGATATTATTGCTGCCAGGTATACTGTAAAGTTTTCTTTTTAAAATAATAATAATAATATATTCCTAGTTTCGACATCTAGATTTATAATATTTTTTTTACAATTCGGTTGAGGACTTCAAGGTCAAAAAGAAAGCGTAATTTTTTTTCTACCAGAATAATGTTTTTTTTACATTGAGGCGGTTTTTTTCTGCAAAGGGGGATTGTTTTGACAAAAGGGAAATTTTTATTGAGGATGAAAACAATTTTAGAAGGGGGGGGGGGCGATTTCGGGGAAAAGGAATTGATTTTATGGGGAATTACCGCTAATTTACTTAAAAGTGTTGACCTCTTACCTTGGTTTGAAGTTGATAATAAGACATTGTATAATCTGTAAATCCAGGAAATTGTATGATCTGTATATCCAGGAAATTGTATAATCTGTATATCCAGGAAATTGTATAATCTGTATATCCAGGAAATTGTATAATCTGTATATCCAGGAAATTGTATAATCTGTATATCCAGGAAATCGTATAACGAGACAAAGAACCGGGCCCATGATCTAGTTCCAATTGAGATCGCCAAGGTTGGACTCACACCTAAACCTTGTATCGAGGGAAGTGATTATATTAATGCTTCATGGTTACAGGTCAGCCATTTTTCTTATTCACGTGATTTCATATATCAATATAATGAAGACTACTGTCGGTTTCAATTTAGATTTTTTTATTAAGGTTTTAAACAGCATGTATATAAAAATGAAACAAAGACAAGCTAACAGTTAAAAAAGCTTCTCTTTGATTAGTTGTAAACTTGTAATTCGAATGACAATCAAAACTTAATTTTAAAAAGTCGTCTTCATTGTATTGATGTAATCGCCGACCACTGTATAAACCTCCATTTCAAAATTCAATCCTTTAAAAAATTAATGTTATTTTAGAATAAAAGAAATCAAAATCTTTTCTTAAATCGAATAAATAAGATAATATAAAGTATGTCTCAAGATCTGGAAACATTGTGATCATAAACAAATTTTTAATATGAAATTCTGGAACTTGCATAAAGTATTTGATTTATATTCATCTTTCTCTGATAGAATATTTTTAAAGAAATAAAACCCCCTGAATTAATTAAGATCTAAATTTGAGTCTGTGTCTAGGGATATGAGAAGTTGAAGGAGTTTATTGTAACCCAGCATCCTTCTACTGAGACTAGGGATGCATTCTGGAGTATGCTTTGGGATCATAATGCACAAACAGTTGTACTACTTTCACCAGTTGATAATCAGGTTTATATGCATTAGCCACAAAGAAGATTTTTTTTGAATTCGCTTTTTCACCAAATTTTCTTTCTTTCCCCCAACCACGGAATGTTAAGTTACTTTACTGAAAAATACAATCCCGGTCTGCGAAGTTTTGGTAAAAAAATACGCATTTTAATCTTTGGAGACATTATTATTGTCTACCACTACTTTTTCGAGAAATTAATAATGGTACTTAACTAATCGGAGCTGGGAACTTTAGAATGGTAGATATCAGGATTAATGCCTGATCCTCTTTTCTTTTACTAATCTCGAGATTATGTTAGTCTCGAGATTAAATATTTAGAGCAACAAATTTGATTCCAGAAACGCCAGATTTGATCGTTTTCTTGACTGGAAGCGCCTTTACTTAATTTCTCACGCATTTATTTATTAATATATTAGTTTAAATTGGTTAAAAAAGAATCTCAAACGTATTATTAAATATTTTTCTTCACAGATTAATTTACAAAATGGCCGACAACATATTCTTTATTTTTTAGAAATTGCGGATTTCTCTCATGGAGTAGAATTTATTTTCAAGGCTGTCATTGGTCAATGCAATTTACGAACTATATTCCTGCACTCTCATTGGAGAAAACAATGTACGGATATCCAAAGAGAGAGAAAAAGATTGGATTAAGGTCTAAAATTAAAAGTTTCCACAGTGGATATTCGTTTTAAGTAGTGGGAATGGGATTAACGGTTATCAATTCTAAAGTTCCCAGCTCAGGTAAATTAAAAAGTAAAAATTACATAGTACTGACGTACTTGTATTTAACAATTTATACAGGAGTTGAACGTGTTTTGGCCTGGACATAATGAAGAATACGATCAGGGAAATATTAAATATGAAGATAAAGATAAAAAATCATTGAGAAAAATGATAATTCTAACTTTTTTATCGAGATTTTTTTGAGAAAACTCATGTTTTATGGATCTAATTTTATAAATTCCAATTGTGTTAGTTTATTTTTAGACCATTTTTTCAATGACAGGTAGAACATTTTGTTAGCGGTACAAATTGAAAGAAAAGAAAATTTTACGCCTAAAAATGCATTCGTACTTTCATGTATCTTATTTATGTCCAAAGATATTCATAATCAAAGTTTATATAAGGTTACTACTGAATTAAATATCTTAAAACCTGGAAGAGTAAACGCTAGGAGTACATAGCGCTATTAAGGGGTCAGCAGAGGGGGGGGGAGGGGTGTTGGGAAGGATATTGTAGAACAAAGAAATTGAGTTTTTGCCACAAACTCTTTTTTCTAATCCCTATATCTTTGCAACCCGTTGCTGTAGACCTTTGATATTTCGAAGTATGAATTCACCATTTGAGTTTGTGGCAAAAACTCAGTTACTTTCATGTAAGGTATGTGAGAAAGATTCGTTGCGGGATGGATTAGTGAGAATCATGGTAGGACGAATTAAAAAGCATCATGGAATGGATGGATTAGAAAGATTTATGCAAGGACAAATTAGATAGATTTATCAGGACGGAATAAAGAGATTTGTTGGACGAATTAGAAAGATTCATGGTTGGACGAATTGGCAGAATGTAAAGGTAGGATAATAAATATGGTAGAACGGGTTAGCAAGGTTTGCGGTAGGCAGAATGTAAAGGTAGGATAATAAATATGGTAGTACGGGTTAGCAAGGTTTGCGGTAGGAAGGATGTAAAGGTGGAATAATAAATATGGTAGAATGGGTTAGCAAGGTTTGTGGTAGGCAGGATGTAAAGGTGGAATAATAAATATGGTAGAATGGGTTAGCAAAATTCGTGGTAGGCAGAATGTAAAGGTGGAATAATAAATATGGTAGAATGGGTTAGCAAGGTTTGTGGTAGGCAGGATGTAAAGGTGGAATAATAAATATGGTAGAATGGGTTAGCAAGGTTCGTGGTAGGCAGAATGTAAAGGTGGAATAATAAATATGGTAGAATGGGTTAGCAAGGTTTGTGGTAGGCAGGATGTAAAGGTAGGATAATAAATATGGTAGAACGGGTTAGCAAGACTCCTGGTAGGACTGACGTAAGAGTGGAATAATAGAAATGGTAGAACGAATTAGAAAGACTCCTGACTGGTGGGACCAATGTAAAGGTGGGATAATTGATATTGGTAGGAATGATTAGAAAAGACTCATGGCAGGACAGGCGTAAAGGTGGGTTCTATTTCCAAATCCTCGGGATTAGAGAATCTGCCCCCATGCTGAACCCCTAGCTAGCGCTTTTAGAGTTAGAAGTATCCTCTTTAGGAGTTTAAGATATGAAGTATAGCAGTAACTTTATATAAACTTTGATTATGATTTTCTCGCGACATAAACAAGATACATGAAAGTGTTAATATACTTTTTTGCGCAAAATTTATTTTCTTTCAATTTTTACAGGTAAACACAATGTTCTAACTGACCTTAAAGACGGTTAGATAGGGAAATACTAAAGTGCATTTGGAATCTATACAAGTATATCTATAAAACATGGGTTTTCTCAAAAAGATCTCGATGAAAAAAGTTAGGATAGGAATTTTTCTCAATGATTTTACTTATATTTTCAAACCCTACCAACCTTTTTGTTGAGGCATTTCAAAAGTTTTGATTTTGTTCAGGCGCACTGTGTCCTAAAAAAAGGAATTGTAACTTTTCCAATGAGCCCCAACACATAAAGGCGCTGTATTAAAAAAAAATTAAATTCAAAATATTATTATTAAAAAATTATTCCTTCTAACCTGAAACACCGTATTTTTGAGTTTTTGTGGGGTTATAACTTAAAAAATATACTTGCCTTCCTGAGTCAAAACTGAGTTTGAACTGAATTATTGAATGAGTCAGCTGATGCCGGATTATTGTTCTTTCATTTGTCAAATCTCCGAACTGGACCAAGACACATAGGGTTTAAATTTTTAGGAACAAACTCTGCTCTGTTTATAAATTAAGATTTCACAGCTCTGAAATCAATATTTGATATTGGATTGGAGTAGGAATGTTTCCGTGTTCGGTTTATTGAAGAACAGATTCATGAAGGACACTCAACCCTTGACTTTGTCGTATCCTCGAGATATGATGATTATGAACTTAAAGTCAGGATGATCAGATGTGCAGGTCAGTTCAAGCTAGACTAACTAGAGCTAAAGGTGTCATGGGGGGGCTTATGCGTTGTGCAATGTACACTGTACATGGTACATTGTACAATGTACATGGTGCATGGTGCATGGTGCATGGTGCATGGTGCATGGTACATGGTACATAGTACATGGTACATGGTACATGGTACATGGTACATGGTACATGGTACATGGTACATGGTACATGGTACATGGTACATGGTACATGGTACATGGTACATGGTACATGGTACATGGTACATGGTACTTGGTACATGGTACATGGTACATGGTAAGTGGTACATGGTACATGGTACATGGTACATGGTACATGGTACATGGTACATGGTACATGGTACATGGTACATCATGGTACATGGTACATGGTACATGGTACATGGTACATGGTACATGGTACATGCTAAAATACTTAAAATGTGAATTTGATAGAATAATTAAGTAAATGCGTATTTTAGGATGGCCACACAGTTCGTCACCACTGTATAAAGTTCTGGATGTTGTGAATTTGGTTCAGGCAAGTACATTTTGCATCAACTCAAAGGAATCAAATTATGAACTTATTATTGAAAAGCTTACAGGTTGAACATTTGTTATATCAGCCTTGTTACTATTCTGTCACCGTCACTTATGACAAATGTGCTATTGTAGGAATGGCATCTGGAAAGCTAATTGATAATCTCAAAGAAATCAAAATTTTGAACATATTTCTTTTTTACGTCGTGATTTACAAGAAAAATTTTTGAATCTTTTCATTTGCTTTGCTTTGCTTGATCCTTACAAATAGTTTTTAAGTTTTGATTAAAGCTTCAACATCCAATTCCCGTACTTGTGATGCTCATTGCTCACATCTTGCTAAAGTTTACTGGCTCTGCAGTCAACTATTTAAATGATTAAGTACATTTATTAATACAAGAATAAAGAATCACAATTAAAATAAGAGTATATGTGGAAAAGGGGAGTACTGAGAAGTTATCTCCGAATCTACTGGTTTGTGGATTTATGTCATATTGTTCGTGGATTTCTTCTTTGAAGTGGAAGACGACATTGACTCAACTTCAATATAATAATATTCTAGGAATGGCATCTAGAGTATCAGAACGGACCTCTGGTTGTTGTTGATAGATTTGGAGGAACTGAAGCTGCCACTTTCTGTGCTCTTACCACTCTCAAGAAACAAATAGGTACAGNCATCTCTATTCATTAACTCTTTTCACTAAAAGGGGCTGTCGTCGTAAGTTCAAGTCACCTTACATTTTAAGAGGGCCATGCCCGATTCTTAACAGTACTATCTAAACCTTAATTTAATCAATAATGTGGAAGATATTCTCGTTTTTCTAGCTTAAAAAAAATGAACCCTCAATTCTCAATTTTTTCTTCTGCATAAAATTCTCAAACCACTTTTATGCAGAAACCATAAAAATATCAATATTAGTTAAAGAAAAATTTAAATATCAAATTTTCTGGATTTTTCAATCTTTTATTTTATTTTTGATCAATCTTTGTATTTTTAGATGCTGAAAATCGTGTTGACGTTTATCAAGTCTGTAAACTGTATCATAACAAAAGACCTGGTATATGGAGAAGTCAGGATGATTATCTGTATATATATAGGTAAATATATAACAAGAGACCTGGTATATGGAGAAGTCACGTTGATTATCTGTAAACATATAGGTAAATATATAACAAGAGACCTAGTATATGGAGAAGTCAGGTTGATTATCTGTATATATATAGGTAAATATATAACAAGAGACCTGGTATATGGAGAAGTCAGGTTGATTATCTATGTATATATATAGGTAAATATATAACAAGAGACCTGGTATATGGATTGAGGTTGAGGATTGGAGGTTGATTATCTATGTATATATAGGAAAACATGTCAATTTTAAATACAGTGTTAAGCGATTATATCAATGCAATGCAGTTGTTAACAAGCTTATTTCAAATTTTACAAGTAATTAAACAAAGAAATTCTTCGTTAATTGGCAGCTTCTCTTGACTTCTATGTTAATGTGTATCCATGCTGTTTAACAGCTTGATATAAACCAAAATTGAAATCGAGCGTCGTCTTCATTGTATTGATATAATCCCCTACCACTGTAGCTGTATAGTATGTCTGTATGTTACAAAATACCGGGCGAAGTGGTACCCCCCGTACCTTACCTTAAATCCGGAATTTGGGAAAAAATGGCAAGTCTAACCCGAAAGAAGGAGGCCCAAAGCAGTAAATATGATATGATTTGATTGGATTTGATTTACAGTCAAAAGCTCTTATTATTTTATAAGAATAATATTTTCTTCATTTTAAAAACTTAAAAATTAGTTTCAGAGGCATTTCTGTAAAACTCTTTTATGCTTTAATAGAGAGTTTCAGCTAAAATTGAAACTCTTTGTTTAGGGTTCTGGAGAGTTTGGCTGGGTGTATAGAAGGAGAAACTGCAAACTGTCTAATCTCAGATACTGAGAATCTCATAGAACGACGACATTCAAGGTTATAGTTTAATTTGGAGAACCTAAAGCAAACTCATTTTTCCGCGGCATTTGATTTGATTATAAAAACTCTTGCTATGTATTCATATATCTGGGATTCACTGNATTCAGCCACCTTTAAACTTGAAGGATTGTCTTTTTCTACTTTTTTTCAATTAAAAGGCCTCCGCTGACAAATAGTACAAGGAAGAAAAAAATAATTTTTGGTAAATTTATCAAATTGTGATCGAAAGTAACCGCTTGCTTAGACAAGACCCGTACTGTTAAATCAGCGTGCGCCGCATGTTATTCACTTTTTTTAAAGACTTTATTGCAGGGGAGTACCGAGGGTACTGGAAGTACAGCTGTTCTAGTCGAAGACGACATACACCAGGTTACAGCAATATAAACAACGCGTGACGTCATATCCTTCAAACCAAAGATAATTGATTGATTTAACGCCCTGCTATCAATCAATCAAATGTGAAGATGAACCCGTATCTAACTGTTTCCTGTTCCTAGATTCTCAAATTTACAAACTGTCACCTCTTCCAATGTTAGAGGAAACTCGTACGTTTTACTTTTTTTCGAAATATCGAGCTTATCGAAAGCATTTCCAGGGTGGCCAAAATGTACGGATTGTACGGATTGTATGTACGGATTGGTTTTAAAAAATGTACGGATTGTACGGATTTTTTAAAAAAAATTGTACGGATTGTACGGATTGTTTTTCGAAAATTGTACGGATTGTACGGATTTCTTCTGAAAATGTACGGATTTTTGTACGGATGGGTTCAAAAAAGTTTTGGCCACCCTGCATTTCGAATTACGAACATTTTGTTTGGAAATACGTTTTGTTCGAAACAGATTGTTTTGGTTTAAAAAATATGTGGGACATCCCTTGCATTCTGACCATAATTTTGAACAAAAAATGTTCGTTATTTCGATCAATATTACGAAAGAGTAAGATTTCTTCTCAGTACGCCTGCTGACATGTAAGCCTAGAGTTAGTGCAAACTTTGCAATTTTGCTTTTATAAAATTATTTACACATTTTTTTACTCACCACGCCAGTGCAATTACAGCTGTTTTTGTTATGTACATTTATTAATAGTTGTATGTGTTGTAATACATATTAAAAGGATTGGCGTTTGTATTTCAAGTTACCCGCAAGAGGGGCATGTCTGATTCACATAGGCCTACCCTTGAAACCTTTATCTGAAAAAAAAAATGTGAAAGATTAAGTTGTTTTTCAATACTTACTTGATATTACGCACTAATTTAAATAATTATTACGGTTTTTTTTTATGAAAACAGATTTTCTAATTCATACATATTCTGACTATGCTTATAGGGGTACCGTTGTGAATAGAACATATAACTCTATCGATAGAGGGACACTAGAAATACAGTCCTTGAATACAAAGAACGCCTAATTTTTATAGTCCAATTTTTTAGATAACTTTTATATTTCAGAAAATTTCTTCTCAAAGTTGTACATTGATAAACATTTTACTTGTAACTTTTGTAGAATCAATCCGTTTACTTTATTGGGTCTCAAAATTTCTTAAGTTTCTAATTAAAAAAGTTAATTCTTACTTATTTAGCAACATATATTACACCGTAAATATTGAATCTTAAAGTTTTTTTTTATATTTTACAATTTTTGTAGTCACATTTTTTATACTTCAGGTAAAATTGATAATTTTTTGTTATGTATATTTAATTTATTGAAATATTATGTAAATTGTAATTGTGTCGTTTTCATGTTTTCATTCATTGGTGGGATATATTAATTAAATGTCTTTGTTTATTGTCTCACTCAGATTGAAAGTTTAAGAGAATGTTCATGAATTTAAAATGGGAAACAGAACTTTTTAAAGAAATAATGTGCACAAACCAGACTTCGATCCTTTCTTGAACAATTTCTCAGCAACTTATAATAGGTAAACTGCGACTTAACTTGACTTTCTGACCCCTCTCTTAAACTTTCATTGTTCTTGTTGTAGGCCCATCATTGCCATTCTTCCTGTATACTTGTTTATCACAAAGATTTCAATAAGCAATAGTGCAAAGTTAATTCTCAATAAATTTTTGCATTTAGATTTGTAAATAGGAATTTGTAAACCCTATACAGCGGGACCCATTAAACTTTGTAAAAAGGAATAAGATTCTGAGCAATCTTATGTGTTTTAGATTTCGTTATAAAGAAAATATTTTTAGCAGAAGCTTTAGTTAAACTAACTAAGGGATCCAATGTAATCTTCACAACGCTTGTTTAAAATCAGAGTCAAAGGGTCTTCTCCTTACTCTTCAGAGTTATGGGTCTCACTGTATCTTAGTCTTTATTTTTACTCATCGTTTCTTCCAGATAAAAATGGCGCGCGGAGTCGGAGGGAAAAGAAAGCGCGGGAATGCCGCGGGAGGTAGAGGGGGTGGCGGGGGACGGATGAAGAAAGATAGAGATAAAAGCGCGTTTAAAATGAGGAAATACACGAAAAATAGTTATATTATTCAGGAAAAGGTAGGAAGACTTTTATTGGCGATTTAATTGTTCGTTTTATCAAAGCCTTCATCATGGAGGGGCAATAAAATGGGGGGGGGGGACTTCCATTACAGAGTGAAAAAGGTAATTACAGGAGATTAAAAAGTTACAACATTCTAGCATTTCAGTATCTTTCGAAAAGAAAACTTGTCGGTAGTGCGAGTCTTAATTTATATTATTGTACTTCAAACGTATATGTCCTCTCAGTACACTACTACACTTGGTCACTCAAAACCCCAGGATTAGGGTTTTTTAGTTTTCGTTTGTAAATACTCGAAAATGTGCTGCAGTATTTTTTTTATTTTGTAAGGGGTCCTTAAAGTAACTTTTTGCTAGCGTACAACTATGTTAAATATTCGAAAACCTCTTGGCTTACTTTGATTAATTATTAATTTTTATTAAGTTTTTAATGCAACGAATAATAAATATGCTTCTAAATTATAAAGATAAATACATAATTAATTTTAATAAGGTTGATAAATCAGTTAATCCAGGTTGAAGCTGAATCAGAAAATGATTCTAGTTCCGAGGATGAAACTACAGAATACGATCAACTTCTTCAGGTAGAAAAAAAAGGAGCATTCTTGCAAAAAAAGATTCTTCTTTTTTTTTAATCAGAATTTTGCTAAAAATTTTCGACTTTGAGGAATTTTTCAATAAAGATCAAACATGTAATGTTTTTTTTACGATATTTATTTTGCAAATGTGATTTCTCGCTATTTGGAAACTCTTAAAGATGCGGTAATTGCATGGAAATACGCAGAATTTATATTTTAGATACCATTTTTCATCGATTTTTTTAATACGGTAAATCCTGTTCAAATTTTATTCATTATTTTTTTTTTAAATGTTTAGGTTTTCAACAAAAAGGACAGAGAAGAGAAAACAGTTAGTGATGAAGATGATGATGAAGATGAAGATGACGCTGATGATGACGCTGATGATGCTGATGGTATTGTTGAAGACCTAAATGAATCTTCTGACGAAGATTCTGATGAAGTTGATAAAATAGATCTCAATGATGTGGAACAACCTAATCCTAACAATAAGGACGAAGACGAATTAGAAACTGAAGACGATAATCAAGAAGAAGAAGACGAAGAAGAAGAGGATGTAGAAGAAGATGATGTAGAAGAAGATGATGAAGAGGAAGATAAAGACGAAGAAGATGATGATGATGAAGAAGAAAATGCAAATTTAACTCTTCCACAATCTGAAGATGATAGCTCAATGAAGAATGGAGAAGATCTTGATCCTTTCTCGGCGCACTTTGAGTTGAACCTGTCCGAGGAGCAAAGCAGGTTCATGAAGGACCCGGCCTGGAAGGTGGAACAGTTCAAATATCTCACTCTGGGGAAAATTCAAGTACTGATTTTATATTGGGTGGAAGGAGCGATTATTGATTTGTCTAGGGGGGAGTATTGATCAAACAAAAAAAACTTTGTGATGATCGGCTATGTTTTTATTTCTATCCCATTTTTTAATACGATTATTGAATGAAAGCTACGGATTAAACTGCCTCCCTGTACAGTACAGGCAGGGTCTGTAAGACATGACAATTGGCCAGGGTCACGGTGCGCGGACGGATTTTCTCAATTTTTTAGATTGGCAAAATTCTGTCCAAAAAAACTTATTTCTACTTTGTATTGTTATTATTTGAGTGATTGCCGCTGAAAACAGAAGAATTTATTTTAAAACATGTAAAATTACAACATTTAAAAATAGCGATAAGTAGTTGAAAATTTTAATAAGTTGAACTATAATGCAGACTGAGTTGAACTACATATATAGTGCGCCAGTTTTAACTTAGAGACTCCGTGGTCAAGGAGAGATTGCATCCTTTTGTAGAGATTAGTAGAGTTCTGCACGATTTCTGGACGAACAGCTTTACGCAGCATGGCGGAAATGGCAGCTATCATGGCGGAGGTTTGAGGAACGTTAGGTGCCTCGTCCAAAGGAGCTCCTAGAATTACTGCGGGAGTAATGGGACAGCCCCAACCTTTTGACAGAGGGGGACCATCAGAGGGAGGGCCTAAAGGAACGTCTCCATCTATAAGTTTGATGCTAGGGAACGCTGGGTTGGTAGCCAACGGATGATCTGCTAGCAAGGAGGCTAAACTAATCGGAACTAGAGTGATCCAGATACGGGTGAAGGTAGCCGAGATAGGCATGAGGAGAGCTCTTAACGAGAAGCCATGAATTCCGGCTGCAGCTTGAGCTTCTTTAGAGAGGGTAGTTTCCCCCTGTTTGAAGGAAAACTTGAAAGAGGACGAATCTAGGAACTCTGAGCAAAGGGAACCGTTGGGGAAAGAGAAAATAGAAGAATCCGGGATGGAAAGAATTAGTGAAGTTGCTGACTCCAGGTTCCAGAAGTTAGCTGCATTAACACTCTTGTCTTCGAAAATAGAGCCCAGTAAGAAAACTGAACTAGAGAGAATTCTTCTGTTGTCTGGGGCTAATTTCAAACCAGTTAGAGCAATCACTTCCTGTGACCAGTTGAGGTCATCCAGCAGGACTGCTGCTTGAGGGCCGAAGCTATCCACTTGAAGACGGCTCAAATCGTCGACTGTTATAGGAGAAGAACCCGTAAAAAGGTTACTTTTGATCGTCTTAGGTTTTTTCTTGGGACCCATATTAGGAGGATAAATGCACTAAGAAACAACACACTTAGTTAGGCATTGAATTATTATCAAGAAAAAAAGAAAGGACTAAAGAATTTTACACTTAATATGGAATTAAATTAATAAAGTTAATTGCCGTTAAAGTAGTCAAAAGGATGTTTGTTTATTATAATGAAGTTGATAGTCGGGTAGTGAAACTTAAGATAATGTTTGTATTTAAAGAATCTTTTAACTTAAAATTAATTAAGTGAAATCTAACACCTTATAAAAGTTGCTGTTGGCAAAGACAAATTGAAAGAACGTAAATTAGTTTAAATTGAAACTCAAATTAAGAAGCTAAGAAAATGTGCTGTCCTTAATAGCTTAGCTTTCTAGTGATGTTGACGCTGAGAGAGGGAGAGAAGAACTGGCTAAACCGGCAGGGAAGGAAACAAAAGGCGCGGGCCGCCAGCCCACGCCGGGGCAGGGACAAGAAAGCTGCGCGTAGCAACAGTACACACACTCCCTACACAAGCAGTACTCCCAACCAGGGGCTCCGCAGCTCTTCACACAATCTAACCGCCCAGGGGCGCCTAAATAAATAATAAGCGGATTAACTTGGATTAACTTAGTCTATGGTCCCTCAACTTAAATGAACTTAGGGGGGGGGGAGGGTGAAGAGAACCTTGAGAAGTTTAGTTATAAATGTCAGAGTTATTGTTGAATTAAAAATCAAAATACAAGATACTGAAAACTAAGGTTATAATGTCAAATATGAGAGTGAAGTTTTAATTTATAAGCTGTATGGTTTTGATCTGAGATATGTGGGACAGGTCAATCCAGGGATTATTTAAAGGATTTATGGGGGGGGAGGAAGTGTCTCTTTTATACATATAATTAAAAGAATTTTATAGGTTCAGATGTTAGATATGAAAGCCCCGCCTACGGAGTCTCCTCTGGAGAAATATCAGACTGAACTCCGATCTTGTTTCCCGGAGCCGGAGGTAGACCTGGAGAAACTGCATCTGAAACAGAACCTTCAGCTTAATCTCCAGGATCCAGAGGCACAGTTTAGGTAGGGTTGGGCAGTTTAGGATCCGGATCTGTTGGATCTGCAACGTTATGGCTCCCTGGATCCAGATACCCAAAAAATATGCGAATTAACAGAAATGGATCCAAAATAAGAAACAAAACAAAAAAGAAAATTAATTAAATTTTTTCTTTTTGTTATAATATCATTAAATCTATTTTGTCTCTTTTCATTTAAAAAGTCTTATATTCTGACTATCTTGGTCGCTGCTGCCTGAATCTGAAAAAGAAAGAGAAACCACTAAAAAAAATTACCAATTTGCAAATAGAAAAACAAAAAGCTCTAAAACCCCGCAAGTCAGATTAAGTAGGGTTGAAGATTTATCGAATATATTTCAATTCTTAAAAGGAATTGATTGAAAGGGCCACGCTCACTTTTTACATTGTCTAAATTTTTAACAATTAATAGTCAATTACTTCCAAATTTCCCCAAAAAAAATATTTATCTATTTTTTGATTCAGGCAAACTCCATTGGTTAATGAACTGATGACAATATTTTCCTCTTACAAGGTAGGTGGCGCAGGTTTATCTCTTACAAGGTAGGTGGCGGAGGTTTATCTCTTACGAGGTAGGTGGCGCTGGTTTACCTCTTACAAGGTAGGTGGCGCAGGTTTATCTCTAACATGGTAGGTGGCGCAGGTTTATCTCTTACAAGGTAGGTGGCGCAGGTTTATCTTACAAGGTAGGTGGCGCAGGTTTATCTTTTACAAGGTAGGTGGCGCAGGTTTATAGCAAGGTTTTATTTTGGATATTTTTAAAAGTTTTAAAGAAAATGTTCAGATTTTTGTTATAAAATGAGGTGCCAATTATTTGATATGAGGATTAAAGCTTTGCCTTTTCAGGCTTTACAAATAAATTAATGGATATTTTTAAAAGTTTTAAAGAGAATGTTCAGATTTTTGTTATAAAAAGAGGTGCCAATTATTTGATATGAAGATTAAAGCTTTGCCTTTTTCAGGTTTTACAAATATAAGATAAAAGTAAGTTTTTCCATCGAAATTCTCTGAAAATGTCTAAAGATAAATCTGCGTTAAAAAGTGTTTGATAATGAAATTAATGTAATTTCTTGGAGAAAAAAAAGATTTTTTAATCACGTAATTTCGACTCAAATCACAGACAACAGAAACAATTTCATTAAATTTAATTAAGTAGAACCCCCTGTTTTGGTCAGTTTTTTTCAATCCCAATATTATCCAAAACTAATCGTTTATTTGTTTTCTAGATTTTAATTATATGTTTTTTACCAAGGATCTTTGCTGGAACGAAAGAACCCATGAAAACGGAGAGGAATTAAGGTGGAGTTTTTTATTTATTCATTAAAATTTAATTATCTGTAAAAGGTGTAAATGACTGCATTTCCCGAATTTTGTCCTTTGAAATCTCAAAGTTGTGAAATATTTATGTATTGCTTTTTAATGCATAGCTTTGTAAATATACAATATAACTAACTATACATATACTGACTGAACTCCACTTCAACATCCATAATGTAAACTTTTCAATTCAGAGAAATTGAGGTCATCAACGAAAATTTAATTTTTTTCGTCTGATAAGTATAAATTTTTCATTATATTTTATTTCAGGTTGGCCTACACATTGCATGCAGTAAACCACATATTAAAAACCAGAACAAAAATACTCAACAACAATCGGAAACGTGAAAAATTAGAAGCTGGCGACGACGGACTTCGTGATCAAGGACTCTGCCGACCCAAAGTGCTCATTGTCGTTCCCTTTAGAGAATCATGTCGAAGAGTTGTCGCAATAATGGAGAAACTTCTATTCCCCAAGTCCAAGGGAAACGTTGCAAACAAAAAACGCTTCGCCGAGGATTTCCCGGAAATAGAAACCGCGCGTAAATCCAAATCTGATGATTATTACGAAACTTTCGCCGGAGATATCAACGACAGTTTCAAGATGGGACTGGCACTCACCAAAAAGACCTTGAAACTCTATACAGATTTCTACAACAGTGATATCATCATCGCATCCCCGTTGGGACTCCGATTAATACTCGGGGTTGAGGGGGAACGGGATCGGAATTACGATTTCCTCAACTCCATCGAAGTTATGATATTTGATCAAACGGAAATTTTTCTCATGCAAAACTGGGACCACATTCTTTGCATATTAGGTAACATTTTATGCCTTATTTTGAAGAAAATAAGTGTTTAAATTTTATTTTGCTTGCAATCATTATATACTTGATACTGTTTAATTAGGAGTTTTTCAAAAAAAAATATTATCTAAATTATAGGAGATTAATCCTTCAACACAAATATTTAATTTTTATTGTAACATAAACATCTTTATATATTATACATTACATAGATGAACATTTTTAAAGATCGTTTAAAAACTGGAAATCTCAATGTTTGTCATTTTATTGAAAATTTTGACATTTTTCGAATTAATTTCAGACGATATTCACAAACAGCCCCAGGAGTCACGAGGTGTTGACTTCAGCCGTGTTCGTCTTTGGAACCTTGATGGGCTTGGCAAATTTTATAGGTGGCTGTTCACTGTTTAAAAAAAAATATAAAAGATCCTAATTTCAAGAAAGCTTACTTGCACTGTTTTAGTTTTTAGTTTTTGGCTCTCAATAATATATATTATATCATATCTGTTCGGTTCCATAGTAGTAAATCTATCGTGTAAGAATTCCCATTATTACACGGTTCAGGAGGAACAATTTTAATATTGTTCGCTTCCTTGCGTTTAAGAATGCTTATTCTTACACTGAAGGTGTAGAATTTTCATTCTTTAACGCTCAGACCGTGTAAGAATGGAAATTATTACACGGTCCGAGCGTGAAAGAATGTTATATAAAATATACTTGAAGAAAGCTGTTCACGTGATTTATAAGAGACATTCCACTAAAACAGTTTCATGCCCTAGCTTAGTCTTCTTCGCAGAATTAAGGGACCTTATTATATTTATTTTTTATTTATTAATTGCGATTGTTTAAAAAATTGGCTTGCGGATATATACAGCAGAGAATTAGATAAGATAAGATAACGTTTATTGCTAAAATAAATGTATCTGTATACAGATAGAGTTTACAATTACAAATTGATGATTATATTAACAGTACAAGTATAAAGCAATTAGGTGGAAAATAGCTCTTGGCCGTTTTGATTATTTTTTCCACCTAATTTCAATAATGATAACAAAACATTTCAATCAAATAAATTTAAGGAGAACTATAAGAGATCAGGGTGCGATTTTATCTTATGCAAAATAGTTTATACATTTATTAGAATAACTAGAGTTTAAAGTAATTTTCTTACATGTACACAACAAATATCAAAGCATATTAAAACCTATCTAATTAGTTTTACATGAATAGCAATTCGGTTTATAACACATTGTAATGTAATTTTCAAAAAGAGAATTTAGTAGTCTATTTTTAAATATACTTAGAGAGTTTATATATTTTCAAGAGAGAAAAAGGAGGATATCTTCCTCATGGATAAGATAAAAACTAGTTCTCTCTTGAGACTTGTTTGTAACGCTATAAAGTGAATGTCACTTGAAATTTTGTGAACAGTCCCTTTAAGTAATTTTGTTTAGGCAGAGATTAGTGAACAGTCCCTTTAAGTAATTTTGTTTAGGCAGAGTTTAGTGTTTAGTAGAACACCCTGCCCAGAGATAAATTCTATATTTAACCGACATTGCTTCAACTATTTTGGAAAGGTAAGATCAATTTTGTTTTGTAAAAAGTATTTATACTGGAAANCCCCCCCAGCTAATTTACTTTTTAACGCTTTTTACCTTACAAATATAAATCATATTAACCTTGATATAAATTATGTATTTTTGCCAGAAACCCATCTTTCATCAATCATTCAATCAACCGAAACTATTTATATTATAATTACAGGCTCGTGTTATGAACCCTGTTATTTCTGGGGCTATCTCAACCGTTCTCAGGAATACATTCATCCTTACTTTATTCATTGATTTCATTTCATTTGAATAAACCATATTTGTATTTATTGCAACTTGCTGAGTTTTCTATCTGAAAACATTTGTTTTGTAATTTTTCACGACCTCTATTTTTGAATTATTTTTGTTTACTTGTTTACATCAAGGGACCCTTGATGCAACGATGGCAATGCCCGATTCACAAAGGTTCTCGTAAAAACTTCTGATCAATTATGAATGTTTATAATTTTGAAAATGAACTATTTATAATTGTGGTTTCTCAACATCTTCCATATTTTTGATCAGATAAAGGTTTTAAGGCTACACCGTTGGGAACCAGGCTTTGTCATCTTTGCATAGAGTGTCACTTAAATATAGCGTACAATCCCTTTAAACATATTTTGTCCAAAAAAGGAATAAATGAGAAAAATGTTGATCCTAGTGAGATCCCCCTTGTTTTCCACAGAATAGAGGCGGCCTCCCCCAAGGAGGCCCTAGAGGAGAGGTTCAAGTACTTCAAGAACCTCATCAATACAAACTATATGTATGTATATTATTCAGCAACATACATTAGCATCTTTATCAATCGATCTTTTATTACTCTGAAGATTATTTTAATCTTTACTCGGTATCCAGAATAATAATTAGAAAAGGAAAAACTGAAATGAAGAAATAAAAAAGTATTTTTTTATAGATTCTCAAATAAAAAGTTGATTTAGTACATTCTCTTTGGTTTTGAGATGTTGATTGTATGGCGTTCCTAATAATTTGATTTGATTTGATTTGATTTGATTTGATTTGATTTGATTTGATTTACAGGAGAGACGAGATGGATCATGTTCTTGTGTTTTTCAGCAGTTATGTAGATTTTGTCAAGGTAGGATAATCGAGGCTGCTCTGCAACCCTCGCTCTAAGATTAATTTGATTTTTAAATGTTGCTTTAATTTTTTTTAGAAAAGCACAAAAAAGTTACACTCAAATAATTCGCAAATGTTCATGATTTTGTTTCTTACAAATAATTTTTTTACGGACAATAAACCACTTCTGGGTTTATGTGAGGTCCCATTGCAAATTGATTTCGTTCAGAGCAGTGAGAGCTTTAATTTTACAGGAGCAGTGAGAGCTTTAATTTTACAGGAGCAGTGAGAGCTTTAATTTTACAGGAGCAGTGAGAGCTTTAATTTTACAGTAAGACCCATAAACCTGTGAAATATGAAATGACTGTTAGAAGTTATAAGTTATGATTTGGAACATGATTCTAGCAAAAATTTCGCAAATCTTTCGCATGCAAAAAATGCAAAAAAAATCGTTAAAAAATGCAAAAATTTCGCAAAAAGCAAATGCGAAAATTTTGCAAAAAAAAGAAAATTTCGAGTAGAAATATCTCTTCATCTAACATTTATTAAAATAAAGGAAGAGAAATTATATCAGAGCAGAAAATTCTAAAAGTTTTTTGCGCAATTAATTCTTGCAGCTACAAATTTCGCATCGTTTTTGCCTTTCTTTGCTTATTTCCTTCCCGCGAAAACATGCGATATTTCGCGAAAAAATTTGCGAAATACGAACGAAAATTTTCGCAGTTTTCGCGAAAGTTTTCTTTCGCTGAAAACTCTACTTGAAACCCTTCAAAGAAAACGAAATTAATAATTGTGCAGTATATTCACAGAACCATTGCACTGAATACGTTAATTTTCCTACTACTGGGGAAGCTATTTACTTTTTAACATATCAACAACATATATCGAGTTCTTATTCCACAGTTTTTCTGTTGAAAATTTTGAATTAGAGCATAATAGCAGCAATAATAACAGGGGAAAGTCGGTTTTCTAAAGTTTAAATTTTTCTTAAAAGAATATTTTTTTAACTACTTCTTACATTTGTTGGTTGTCTGTTTTTGTTAGATGTTTGTTTGTTTGTTTGTTTGTTAATATTTTCTACTGCTCAGGGCCGTAACTGGTTTAAAAGTGCAGATCTGGACTATGCTGAAGTTTGCGAGTACACGAAGGATAATAAGATGGCAAAGGTACACCTGAATAATCATAATCATAATCATAATCATAATCATAATCATAATCATAATCATAATAATAATCAGAATCAGAATCAGATTAACAATTTTACTCTGTTTGAGTCGGGCAATAAGCCTATTCAGAAAATTTCCTTTGTCTTCCATGTAAAGAGGAGCAAACCCTTTTAACAATAGTATCTTTTAAACCTTTTAAACCTATCCATATTAATCTATTGAGACGGTTTTGATTGCTGAACACTTTGTTTGCAAGTTGTTAAGAATAACATAGAGGATCACTTAAAATTACGCTTACAGTCCCTTTAAAATTGTTTTTGAATTTTTTTTTAGTAAATTGTTGAATAAGAAGATAAAGATATTGTCCTTGAATGATTTTAGACTGAATAGAAATAAGTTTAATATTTGAGGCTCGTGATGATTTCTTCCACAATTCTAAACACTTCCTGTTGTATACTGAGAGAGCACATTTCTACAGAAGATTCAGCATTAAGGGAATCCGACATCTTATATTCTATCAGGTAGATAGATAAATAAATAAATAAATAGATAGAATAGACAGAACAGACAGAATAGACAGAATAGACAGAACAGACAGAACAGACAGAACAGACAGAACAGACAGAACAGACAGAACAGACAGAACAGACAGAACAGACAGAACAAACAGAACAGACAGAACAGACAGAATATACAGAGACAGAACAGACAGAACAGACAGAACAGACAGAACAGACAGAACAGACAGAACAGACAGAACAAACAGAACAAACAGAACAGACAGAACAGACAGAATATACAGAATAGACAGAACAGACAGAACAGACAGAACAGGCAGAATAGACAGAGCAAACAGCAAACAGAACAAACAGAACAGACAGACAGACAGGCAGACAGACGGACAGAAACCGACATTAAAGCAATATTAAGCCTATTTAAACTATATAGATGCCTGTAAACCCCCAGCTATTTACTGAGCTATGTAACCTTCAGCAAGAACAGTTCCAGAATAGACGAGGAGGATCGTCCGCTAATATGTCCTGCACTGTCCTTTATTCAAAGGTTTGTAAATTAAAAACCAAATTTCCGAATAAGATAAAAATAACAAAAATTTACCAAAAAGTCTGATTCAAAGACAATGTTAGCAATGAGATTCTTGACTAACAGGTAGGTTTTTAAACAAAACTCTTAGATCTTTAAATCAGACTTTTTGGTAAAAATGCGTTAAAAACAAGGGAAAAGTGGGTAAAAAATAATTTTTCCCTTTTTATTTTCTATTACAAAAGTACTATCCAATTCAGGGTTGTGTGCGAAAAAAAAATTTTATCTCGAAGAAAAATGTGTTCATGAATCCAGAAAATCTGAAAATAATTGTCAAAAAATGAAAAAAGGATTCTCAAATGTATTCAAATGGTAAATCAAATTACATTTTCATGAAATGCCTAACCTATTAAAAGACTTTCATGATTTAATTATGTCCGTGAAATGTTCTTTCATGATTTAATTATGTCCGTGAAATGTTCTTTCCTGATTTAATTATGTCCGTGAAATGTTCTTTGTCATTCATTTCAAATTTCTCACATTTTTAAGATCTTAACTTTCTGTGAAATGTCCAATATATGAAATGTTTTTACATTAAATTTCCATTCTATTAAATGTCTTCTATGAAATGTCTAATCTTTCAAATGTAATTAATAGAAATGTTTTTCCATGAAATGTCCAATCTAGTAAATGCTATGCTATGAAATGTCCAATAATATATGTATGTTTTATGAATAAATGTGTGTCCTCTTTATAAAATGTCCGCTATATGTTTAGTATGATGGTACCCGGCTGGCTGAGTGTGTAGGAACGAGTAAGGCCTCGACTATGATAAACGCGAGTAAATCTAAGCATGTTTTTACCCCTGGAAGTTAAACTGAGAGACCATTGTATCTTGGCTGTGATAAAAAAAAGATTTTTTAAATTTTTTGATAAATATTTTTTTTCAGATTAAAAACATATCTTAAAATGTCCGGAGAACCACCAAGGCAACCGAAAGATATGCCGGTATGTACAAGGGTCTCACCTTCAAGAGAATGAGACTTTAATTACGGGGGGGGGGTAGATGGTTCACCTCTTATATCTTGTTTTAGTATTCTAATATCTATCAACTGTCCTATCTACAGTATTCTAATATCTATCTACTGTCTTATCTACAGTATTCTAATATCTATCAACTGTCCTATCTACAGTATTCTAATATCTATCTACTGTCCTATCTACAGTATTCTAATATCTATCAACTGTCCTATCTACAGTATTCTAATATTTATCTACTGTCTTATCTACAGTATTCTAATATCTATCAACTGTCCTATCTACAGTATTCTAATATCTATCTACTGTCCTATCTACAGTATTCTAATATCTATCAACTGTCCTATCTACAGTATTCTAATATTTATCTACTGTCTTATCTACAGTATTCTAATATCTATCAACTGTCCTAACTACAGTATTCTAATATCTATCTACTGTCCTATCTACAGTATTCTAATATCTATCTACTGTCCTATCTACAGTATTCTAATATCTATCAACTGTCATATCTACAGTATTCTTATATCTATTTACTGTTCTATATACAGTATTCTAATATCTATCTATTTTCCTATCTACAGTATTCTAATATCTATATTCTGTCCTGTCTACAGTATTCTAATATCTATCTACTGTCCTATCTACAGTATTCTAATATCTATCTACTGTCCTATATACAGTATCTATTTATTTTCCTATCTACAGTATTCTTATATCTATCTACTGTCCTATCTAAAGTATTCTAATATCTTTCTACTGTACTATCTACAGTATTCTAATATCTATATACTGTCCTATCTACAGTATTCTAATATTTATTAACTGTCCTATCTACAGTATTCTAATATCTATCTACTGTCCTATGCACAGTATTCTAATAAATATTTACTGTCTACAGTATTCTATTATCTATCAAGTGTCCTATCTTCAGTATTCTAATATCTATCTATTTTCCTATCTACAGTATTCTAATTACTATATTCTGTCCTGTCTACAGTGTTATAATATCTATGGTTCAGGGTTTACTTAAGTTCTGTCTGGAAGCTACTAGGGGGGAGGATGCTGTAGAAAGGCCTGATGATGTACTCAGCTCTATGGATGAAGAACGGAAAGCATGGCTCCAGGTACAAATTCTGGTGCTCCGCGCCACTCAAAAATTATTTTTCTGGATTTTCAAAATTTTCATAATAATAGTTATTCTTATTAATTTATTAATAAAGGAAGCCCTGAATGGAATGAGTGTGGATGTGATTGAACAATTAACCAACGGTATGAAGATATTGCTGAGTGACACTGCAGACCTCGATCAAAAGGTGCCACTACTTAGTGACCGGGGGGGAGGGAGGAAATAGAAATCAAATTTAATTTTCCCAAAACAACCGAAATGATTAAAACAATATTGATTTACAGAGTTAAAATTAATGGGATCGTAAAGTGGATCTCATAGGAGGAGACCCTAGACTGCCCAGAGGACTGGTTGAATATTGATATTATAAATATTCTAGGAGGAGACCCTAGACTGCCTAGAGGACTGGTTAGGGAATATTGACAATGCGAATAATTTTCACAAGATCGGTGGATTCTCAGCTCTCAAACATTGTCTTAATTCTAATCATCCATCCCTTAGGTAATCATTAATCAAAGTAAAATATATACAGAGAACAGTGAACACTGAACAGTGAACAGTGAACAGTGAACAGTGAACAGTGAACAGTGAACACTGAACAGTGAACACTGAACACTGAACAGTGAACACTGAACAGTGAACACTGAACAGTGAACACTGAACAGTGAACACTGAACAGTGAACACTGAACAGTGAACACTGAACAGTGAACACTGGACAGTGAACACTGAACAGTGAACAGTGAATACTGAACAGTGAACAGTGAATACTGAACAGTGAACAGTGAATACTGAACACTGAACAGTGAATACTGAACACTGAACACTGAACACTGAACACTGAACACTGAACACTGAACACTGAACACTGAACACTGAACACTGAACACTGAACATTGAATATTGATAATCGAACATTAGACATAAGACTCTGGACATCACCAGACAGTAGACACTAAACTCAAAACTAATATCGACACCGAAGTTAACTTAGGCAGAAGACTAATTTTTTTTCCTTGTAGAACTGGGTCTGCTCATCTGGTTGCTGAACTCAGCCAAAACAACGATTATTGTCAAGAAAAATTTACCCAGGACGGATTCATCCAGCTCCTAATTTCTCAGCTTGACCTGGATACTGATCAAGCTTGCCGGGTTAAGGCTATGTACGCTCTCTCCTGTATATGCCGAGAATACCAACCTGGTCTTGATAAATTCTGTTCTCTGGACGGATGGAGTGCAGTCCTCAGAGCAATCCAATCCAACGAACCAAAACTACGAACCAAGGCCTGTTTTTTCCTCGCTGCCATCGCAACCATCAACTCCAAGATCGTTGAAGATCTCTCAAAGATGGGATTGGTTCAGCAACTGAGTCATGTACTCCACGAACCCAGTGATCTAACCCACGAGCAGGTTCTACACTCAATACTTATCCTCGTGAAGCAGTCGGAGATAGCTCGACAAGACGCTCTGCTAGGAGAGCTGGGCCTGGAGAAGATCTTGAATGAGAAGATAGTTGATATGTCCGGGAAGGAGGAGTTTAATGAGAGTGTTGAATACTGTCGTCAGCTCCTTAGTCTCTGCTTTAAAGAGGAGGAGAGTGCCGACAGATAAAAAAAAATTTGGAAATTTATGATAATTAAATAAATATATTTGTAAACTTCCTGGATTAAAAAAAAAATCTAGTTAGGGGGGGGGGGTACGAAAAGTATTACTTTCCTAGACTTTTAACAGTTTAATAACAAAACTTAGCGTTGTAGGAGAAACTTCAAGAATACAGCTTTTGTTATTGAAAAAGATTAAATCTATTACAGAGCGTCCCATATCATATTGGATTGTCTCCCAGCTTTAACGTCAAAAAACGCAAAATAAATACTTGAAAAACTGGTATTTTCTGCAAAATTAGCCTTATACAGTTTTTAAAATCTTTTTATCAGTCCCCAAAATCTCGATTTAAAGCACTAAACGATCTATTTTGATGTGGGACACCCTGTTTAAGGGGTTTGAAATTGTACTTGCTTTGTAAACTGAGAAATATCGGAGAGAGATGATGTTTTAATTTATTCTGTAGAAAGATGTTCAGATCTCCAATATCTCCGCCATTAGTTAACCTTATCAATGGGCTATTTTGTCTAGTATAGAGGGGTGCTCATTATAAAAAAATAAACCCCTATCTTTAATGGTTGAATAATGGTTAGGGATTTTAAGAGTTTTAAAAGTATGCTAGAAAATTTTTCAAAAATAATTGTTTCTTATTTTGACACATATTAACATGTGACAAGGGTTTGCAGCGAACAAAACGTTTCGCGAAAAAATACGAAAATTTTTGTGCGTATTTCGCAAACTTTTTCGCGAAATTTCGCATTTTTTCACGAAAATTAATGAAGCGAAAAATGCGATAACGAAGCGAAAATCGTTTTCGCAAAAACCAAATGTGATGAAGCTGTTTTTTGCATTTTCTTATAATTTCGCGTTACAGATTGAAGCGAAATTTTGCGAAACGATTTTACCTTTTCGCGTTGCAAACCCTCCATGTGACACACGTTAGTACATCCATTTTTCGAGGGATTATCAAATAAATAAATTTTAGCCTTAATTTTTGAATTGCCGACCTGCTGTTCGACCGTTCTCTCCACATTAAAAAAATAGCTAAATCTGTTCACAACAATGATGTAAACCGCTTTCAAGTTATTTAGAAAATAATTGTGATAGGTTTAAGAAACAAAACTATCGATTACAATTTAGAATGCTCAAGGAGTCACTGAAAATATTTTAAAATCCACACTTAATTAAACCATATCTTTTAAACTTAAATGGCGTAGTTGATGAACTACTTCTATTCTGTGGTATCTCGAGACGTTAAACAACTACTTATATGAGATAAAATAGCTAATATGTGGCAAAGAAGGGGGAAATGTTGTGGATATGGCTGCTTGCCTTTCTCCGCTCCTTCTATATATAACTCTGGTCCAAGTTAGTCCATATAATGTCGCCATTAAATTTATAAATGCGTACAATGTACATTGTACATTTGTTGACTTTTCTCGCCGCCTTAGAATTTTAAGTTTACAAATAATAATTTTTTATCTTTGCCAAAAACACTTGAAATGTTTTCCATTATTTAAAAACTTCCGAATTCCAATATTCACGTTGTTATTCGTAATCCATCTCAATTTGATAGATTAGGACAGGAATAGAGTCCTTTGTAACAAACTCTGATTTTCTAATCCCTTTATACTTTTCACCCCAATGTCGTAGATGTTTCAAACTATGAATTCTGTCAGATCAAGATAAAATGTAAAGGTTAACACCATCAGGTGGCAAAGTTAAATGGGATTTAAAATTCGAGTTTGTCGAATTAATTAAATTGATATTATGTTATTAAAAGCAAATTATAAAACACTGTTAACACTGCAAAATTGCTGCCTCTCATGTACGTTGGACTTTTAAATTTCTCAACTTGGCCTGGCTCTGAAAGTTTTTTTTTCTCTTCCAGAGTTTTCTGGTTCTCACTGTTCATGGTAAATTTAAAAAACTGGTTTGTAAATACAATGAAATTGGTCTGTATTGATGCAGTGGTCCTTAAACCTAGTGGAATACAACAACACTAAGAATATCAGATGAGTTTGCTATGTCATGAGTGACTTTAATTTTTTATAATATTTAATTCCACTTTTATACGTGATAATTCAAGCCAACTCAGGCTTTAATAGTGCCATTTCTGATTCATGTTAGTTAGCAATCTTCTTCTCTTTGAACATCGATTATTTTTTACATTGGTTTCACTAAACAAAATAACTTGCGTATATCTGCTATAGAAGCAATACTGAGGAATCAAATAGTGTTGAAGCTTGAAAAGCCAAAATATCTTCTACATTAATGACCAGAGCCCGCGATTTAAAAATTTCGACTTGAGCTGTAATTCCTTAAACCCGACTTAAAGACCCAACTCTGACGACAGCTTGTGTCACATGATTGACAGCTGCAAGATCTTCGGCTCGACTGAAGGAGTCAGGCCCAATGAAAATAAAACCAACCTTGGTTGGTTTTAGTGGAGAATAAGGCTCAATGTTGAGTCTTGTTCTCATCAAACCCCAGAATGCGCCAATTCCTACCATGAAAATCCACCAAATAGAATATTAAACCGGTTTTTTGAACTCATCTCTGTTGAAAATAAGATGCAGCTTGAATCCGAAAGCTCAAGCCTTAAATAAGGCCCAACAACAGCTTAGACCAGAGATGTTTTATAAATCGCGGGCTCAGGAAATGTTTGAGGGCACTGTGTAGTTCGGGCATGCTCTTATTATTAAAGGACGATTGGAATTACAACAACATTCCCTTTAATCCCCTTTAAGGGTTAGTCTGTTAACTATTGTTCTCTTCTTTTTCTTATGTTTTGTTAGTTTAATTTTTTATTAATTTTTTTTTGATTTTTTAATGTTCATGGGTACATGGCTTATAAAACTTGTTGTCATTAATAAATAATTCAGGGTTCAAGCATCACAACTCTCGCAACTCATTACTGAAAAAGAAAAATATTATTTAATTAGTCTTAGTTAACTGAGCTAGGAACTTTTGATCTGACAAAATGACTTAAGCTGGAAACAGTTTAGAGATTAAACCAATAACCTTTAAATTATTTTACCCCAAATTCAAGGATCTGAATATTAGGAATCTTTAAAATAAATTTACTGATAATTACCAGAAGAGAGCTTCCACGGTTCATGCGTAAAGAGTACATGGCTTCATCAGCCAGCTTAACTCTCTCCTCATTTTCCTCAAAGTCTTGCTGTGCCTTTCTGAATTTGGCCAGATTGAGAGCTGCAATCTCCTCTGCTTCTTCTATCTGCTGCTTATAGACCTTAATCTTTTGCTGAAGCTTGTTGGCTATTTCAGACATCTTGTCTTGGTTCTTCTTGTCCTCCTCTTGCTGGAAAAGAAGCTCCTTGATTTTCCTCTCTGTCTTCTGGAAACCTTTCATGTTCTCTGAAGTACGGACTTGGGTGCATCCAAGTTCCTGTTCCAGCTCTCGAACCTGCATGTAAATTGTTAGCCTTGATTTTTATTTGATATTTTTTCTTCAATGGTTTTTTTTTAGAACTATGAAATTTGATACCTTAGTTTCAAGTCTGCTAAGCGCTGACTTTCCACATCTTATTGCATTTTCTTCAGCCTCTGTGAGCTTGGTCTCAAGCTCCCCAAGCTGGGTCTCAAGGGATCTTTTGATCCTAGACTCAGCAGCAGAATGATCCTTAATAATTTTGTCTAGTTGTAGCTAAATTTGTATTACTTAAAAATAAAATACCTGTTCTGCTCTTAGTTCATCAGCTAGCCTTGCAGCATCAACCATAGCTCTTTTGCCCTTCTCCTCAGAGCTCTTTGCAGCCTAAAAATCAGTGATAAAAACTTCATAAGATTTAGCTTAAATAAGATTTTCAAATAATTTTGACAATATTTAATTAAAAATCGTATTAACATTTTACCTGCAAAAGAGAATCAATTTCTGCTTGAATGGTGTGAAGATTGCCTTCTAGAGCTCTCTTTACAGCAATTTCCTTACTATTGATACTCTGCATTTCATTGACAGAGTTGCGAGTATCAGCAAGCTCGGCTTCAAGTTGTCTCTTTCCCCTTTCAGCAGAATCAAGCAGAGCTCTACTTTCCTCCATTTCTGCAGAAAGAGCTGCAGCTTTCCTTTCAGCAATACCAACCTAGGTTTAGTATTTTAAGGGAACTGCCAGCCATTGAATATATTGTCTTAAGCTATGAAGGAGCAAGTTTATGTTCAAATTACAAATTTTATTTTACCTGTTCAGCTATTTGTTGCCTAATCCTAGACTCATTTTCCAATCCTTGAAGGGATTCCCTTAATTGACTTTGATATCTCTTGATTGTCTTCATTCCCTCAGAATTTGCCTAAATTTATCAATTAAAACTGGTAATATACTAATCATAATGATAAATGATCAATTGACTATTCAAACCTTATTGGCATGGTCTAGAGCTATCTCCAACTCATTGATGTCTCCTTCAAGCTTCTTCTTAATTCTGAGCGCTTCCCCTTTGGCCTTTTGCTCTGCTTCCAGACTGGCATTAAGTGAGTCCATAGCACGATCATGATTTTTCCTGACAGTAATTGGATTAGATCATGAGAATCATCTTTTAAAATAAAAATTACCTTGTGTTTAGGAATTCCTCATCTTTTTCAGCGAGTCTGCGATCAATCTCTTGCCTGACTTGGCCCAATTCAAGCTGGGCTCTCAAAACCTTGTTTTCTTCTTGCTCCAATGCACCCTCTGCTTCTTCAAGAGCACTCTGAAGCTCTTCTTTTTCAACCTCAAGACGCCTTCTTTGTTTGTCCAGGTCATGAATTGATCTACCTCCATCTCCAAGTTGATCAAGAAGATCCTTGATTTCATCAGCTAAGTTCTTGTTTTCACGCTTAACTATGTCCAGCTGTTCAGTAGCTTCATCATGTGAGGCCTTGACCCTGTAGAGTTCAGAGGAATAGTTGCGACATTCATTGTTGGATGCCTCTACTTCACATGCTATATCAGAAGCTTTTGCTTGCCACTCTCCAAGTACTTTGTCAAAATTCTTTCCTCTCTTCTCAGTTATAAGGGCGGCAGCATGCACCCTTTCATACTCCATGGAAATCTCATCTAAATCTTCCCCTATTCTCTGTTTACTTTTCTCTATATTAGCAAGCTTGGTTTGTAGAGAATCAATGGTCTCTTCAGCTTCAGTAATTCTTGATCTCAGTTTAGAGTTATTGCCTTCCAGTTCCTCCACTCTTCCCATCCCTTCTGTTTCATAACGAGACCTCCAAAGCTGAATCTCTGCTTGAGCCTTGGATAAAGACTTCAAAGCATCAGATTTTTTAAGGTGTTCATTTTCAATTTTTTCTCTGTAGGTCTCAAACTCTGTGGTCATATGCTTATACTTAGTAAGAAGAGATGATCTATCCTTTGATTCTGACTCTGAGAGTCTCTTAGTGTCCTCAAGTTGAGTTGCGAGGGAGACTTTACTTTTGTTCATATTTGCAAGAGCATTTTCAAGTTCTTCTATTTGTCTACTAAGATCTTGGTTCTCAACAGTTAGCCTCTTTTTAGTAGAATCAGCTTCATTCATTGCTCTGGCGAGTTCATCAAGCTTTGTATGAGATTCAGCAATTGATCCTTGAAGAAGCTTTCCAGTTCTTTCAAGTTCAGCTCTGGATTTAACAGCATCTTCCAAGCTTGCACGAGAATCAGCCAGATCTCTTTCAAGGCCTGACTTATCTTTTTCAGCCTTAACCTTAGAAGAATTGAGAGAATCAATATTTTCTCCCAAATCAGACATGGTATTATTGTGCTTCATCCTCAGAGCTGCTAAAGTTCCCTCATGAGCAATATTAAGCTCCTCTAATTCACATTTCAAACGACTTAGCTCACCTTCTCTCTTCTTGTTCAGCTCTACTTGTGTTCCGGTATTAGCCCCTGCTTCCTCAAGTCTTGCAGCAATGTCCTCAATGTCTTTTTTCAAGATTGAGCGACTCTTTTCTGCTTTTGCACGGTTGCTTCTTTCTATGTTGAGTTCTTCATCCAACTCTTCAAGTCTACCTTGCAGCTCTTTGATTTGTTTTTGATACTTGCTTCCAAGAGATCCCTCATCCTCAATCTTGGCTGAAAGTGCTGAATATTCCTTTTCTTTTCTTGCTAAAGTTTGAGCAAGCTCTGCCTTGACTCTTTCAAGATCAACAACAGCTTCCTGTGTGAGTTTAAAGTCTCCTTCACATTTCCTTTTAAGTTTTTCAACATCATTCTTGGATTTCTTCTCCCTTTCAAGAGCATCTTCTGCCTCATCAAGAGCCTGTTCTAACTTTCCTTTGACTCTGGAAAGATGGTTGCACTTGTCATCCATAGTTTGGATGTCCTCCTCAACTTTTTGTCTGAAATCAATTCCAGACTTTTTTTCTTTTCCAAGTTTTGCAAGCATATCAGCTTGATGAGCAATTTCATCCTTCAGGGTTCTTATTTGATCGTCCTTATCAGACCTTTCTTGCTCAGAGTTTTCAAGCTGTCTTTCCAGAGTTGAAACCTCACTTTGAAGTTGATTAATTTGTGACTCCACTTTACGCATTTGATCTTCAATGCTTGACTTTTGCTCTTCCTCGGCCTTGATTCTTTTTTTTACTTCAGCAACTTGTTTTTGGATATCATTAGCAATGTTTTCAACTCTCACTGCTTTATCAATGATATCTTGGACAGCAGATCCTCCTGAGGTCAGCGCTAATGAAACTTCATTCTTTTGAGATAGAAGATTGTCATGAATAGCTTGAACTTTTTGACGATCAGCAATTGCTTTATCAATGTTTGCCTCTGCTAATGCTATTTTTTGCTCAAATTCTTCTTTGTACTTACCAAACTGAGTACACTTCAAGTGTGGTTTAATTGCAGACCAAATTTGCCACCAGAGCCAAGTTTTTCCAATCCTGAAATTTCTTATAGTTCTCTGGCAGCAGTACAGAGCTAATTTCTGATCTTGAAGTTTTTTAAAGGCCATTCTTGAAGCTTTACCTCTAGCACCTGATTGAAGCCAGGCTAAGACAGATCCTATTTTATCCTCTCTTACTTCCTCCATGAACCCTAAAATTCCAGCTCTGAAGAACACTTTAGTATGCCCCAGCCTGTACTTCTCTTTATCCAGATTGATTGATTCTAGAACTGCTCCGGCAGCAGCTTTGTCATTCTTTGCCTTAGCTACAAGTTTAGCAGCAAGAATATTGTACCTTGCTTTGAATTCAGCATAAATCATCTTATTCGGGAATCCCTTTCTGCAGATTGCAATTCCTGCAAGTACACCATTACATTGGTATTGATGCATTATAAGACCGGGCTCTACTCCTCCTGGTTGTTTGTGTGTGTTTGGTACAACACAGCGGATAAAGTGAGGCTCAGTCTTATAAAGGGTTGTCATCAGATCATCAAGTTGACCCTTAAAATATGAAGAAACAGTCTTACCACCACCCTTCTTTTTCCTTCCTCCATCGTCTTTTGGAGTCTCCAAAGGTTGTCCAGGATGATCAGCAAAACACTGAATCATGAGGGAATTGGATCCATTTTTAATCATTTCAACAATTGTATCATTTAAGGGATCCTTATTTTTTTCCAGCCAGTTAGTCAAGTTGTAGGAGACTGTTGCAGCATAGTGAATGACTGCAAAATGTGCATCTGGGTCTGGTCTTGGGTTGGGTTTTGCAAAATTTGGCCACTTTCCAAGAAGATTAGAATGCAACTTTTCACAAAAAGTTTGATCTGTTGCTTTAGGGAACAGAGATTCTTCCTCAAATACAGCTAAGAGGCCCATAGGTTTCTCAAACATGTCAATACATTTCTGAAGATCCATACCAAAGTCTACATTTGCCCAATCTAGTCCTTCTCTAACATATTCTTCCTGTTCCAGTGTAAACATGTGAGAGTTAAAAAACTGTTGAAGCTTCTCATTTACATAGTTGATGCAAATCTGCTCAAACCCATTGTAGTCAAATATTTCAAAGCCAGCAATATCCAGGACACCGATATACTGAACTTTCTTCATTGTTGGATCAATAAGAGTTTCATTACATTTATCTACTACTAGCCTAAATGTACGCTCATAAATGGCACGTGCAATACCTGCAACAGAGTTAGCTGCATTACTGCAAGAAGAACCTTTAGATACCCACTCTGTTCCAACCTTCAGCTTAGGTTTACAGAAATAGTTAATCATCCACTCAGGATCAATACCAGCTAAAGTAGCAACTTTGATTGAGTTAGTATCATCTTTTATTTCAGCCTGCTCTTCCTTTCCTACCGGAACAAAGTCTTTTGTCATGTTTCCCATGTGCATCATGCAAGCAGTATTTTTGTAAACATCGTATTTTTCCTCCTTGGTAAACCCAAGAATATCAAAGGCTTCATCAGCAAACTGCATGTCCTCCTTATCATCAATGGATGGAACAGTAATCTTTCCCTGTGAAACATACCAATAGTCTAAGATATTATCAGTGAGGAGACATTTCTCCTTTAAGTCGGGTACGGCATCAGACATAATGTTATAAAAGGCATGATAACATCTTTCAAGTGGTTGCTGATAGGTCAGTCGAGATTTTTCCAGCAAGTAGACAACCATATCTGCCCCAGACAGTTTTCCAGAAGCATTGAAATGAATACGGATAAATTTACCAAACCTGGAGGAGTTATCATTCCTCACTGTCTTGGCATTTCCCCAGGCTTCAAGAACAGGGTTAGTTTGGACAATCTTGTCTTCAAGAGAAACTTCTCCTTCCTTCCTCTTCCCAGATGAGCAGATGGTGGCAAAGTATGAAATAACCTTTTTAGTATTTTCAGTTTTACCTGCCCCAGACTCTCCGGTAATAAGGATTGACTGATTCATGCCAGAATTCATCATTCCTTGATAAGCTCCTTCTGCAATGGCAAAAATATGAGGAGGGCACTCATTCCTCCTTCTCCCTACATAGATTTCCATTGTACGGAGAGTATAGATGGGAAACCTCTTGTATGGATTGATGGCAATACAGAAGAGTCCTGAGTAGGTGTAAATCAACTGATTGACATAACGAATTGTTGAATTCCATAGAACACAAGCATCCCCAAGAAAGGTGAGGTTTGCCATATCATCAGAGCAATCAAACTTGGGAGGGTTGACCTGGCATACTTGATCTTCTTTGTAAACCTTCATCTCTCCGTTCACATTCACAGTAACCTTTGCTCCATCCTTGGACTCTAGAAGTCCCTCCAGATACCCACCATCAGCCTTGTTCACGACCCAGACAGACTTCTTTGGGTCATAGGGCTTAAGTTTGTTCTTCTCCTTAAGCTCAGGGGAAACACACAACCAGGGGGATGGATCTGGGTCAGGACCAGAACTTTTCTTGATATGACCTGGCATCCTTTCCTGCAGATAAAAAAATTATGTTTTTTTGTTTGTTTTTTAATCGTTCTTGTATGATTTTAATGGTTTAAATAGCATTTTTTTGGTATTTATTTCTGTAAAAATGTTATAATTAGAATAGTTAGTGGTGTTTTTACATATCCACTCAAAAAGTTTCAAGATCATTTGCAGTTATTAGAAACAATTTCTGAGATTAAAAATTTAAAGCTTAGCTTAGCTTAGCTTACTTCAAAAAAACGTTTGAATCTACGTAAACATGAATCATCTTGATTTATTTAAGGCAAATCTATAAAAAATTATTTTTGAAAATCTTTATTCTAAAATTATTTCATCAAAATACTAAAAAAAATACTAGTTTACAGATGGCAATCTAATCTTTTTTTTAAATACAAACTGAGGCGCATTTAAAGCTTTATTTTAACATATATTTAAAATAAAAAAATTGTACAAAATTTAAAAAAAGATAACGAAAATATGTTTCATGTTTTATCAGAAAGAATGAAGACATAGGATCCTAATGGATTCGATTTTTAATCCTTTAAATTATTTTTTTGCTTAAATTTGCTATACAAAATTTTTCAAGATAAGCTATTTCAAATATGACTCACACGCTTGTTTAACATCGAGCTAAATTTTGACTATTTCTGACGTTTTATATAAGAAAAAAAATCGTTCGTTAGCGAAAAGACAGTCTTCCAGGGAAAAGATTTTCCTACAGGGTGATAATAACAAAATTTTTATTAGAATACAATTTTAATATAAACGTCGTTTTAAAGGACCTATACACGTCATTTCAAGTGACCCTCCTATTATAAAATGGCATTCACAATGGTACCCCTATAAGCTTAGAAGTACATTTCTATTTTTATTCAGATTCTTAAAAAGTGGTTTCTCTATTGAATTACGGATTTCATGTTGCGTTGGAAATTGTGATACTGATAAATTAATACTTATCAACATAGAAAGATGACGATAATTTTCACATTATTGGCCAGATACAGGTTAAAGGGTTCCGTTGTGAATCAGGCATTGCCCTCTTTGAATAGAGGGTCACTTTTACACTAGTGGCCACTTTCAGTGATAACAAAATAATACATTCATACACTGAAAATAACCAATATTTCTAAGAAAAGTTTTGAATATCTCAATGAACCTTTAATAGAAAAAGTGTTTAGGGGTACCGTTGTGAATCGGAAATGGCACTTAAAATTACGTTTACATTCCCTTTGAAAAACGGATCAAATAGGATATCTCGTGGAATGTTTACTCACCTCAGGTTTGTGAATGTCTGAGGTTTAGAACCTCCAGGTAAAGTTTATATACCTGTGACCGGGATGACCGGCGCTGCCCCCCTCTGGCTACCTTACACCAATAAAATCAGGATTTGACGGGAACTCGCAATTAAGGATAAGAGGGGTTAACTGTAAAATGTCAACAATAAACTCTCTAGTTGTTTTAACACTCTTGCCAGAAGCATTTTAACTTTTATAGTTTCACAGATTTTTCTTATTTTCAAAAACGAAATACTTCAAAATTTATGTGTATTGCATTTTTTACAAACATTCAGTTACTTGAATCACATTAACTATGAAAAATTCCCTTAAAGGGACTGTAAGCGTTATTTAGGTTACCTTGCATGCAGAGATGGCACTTTCTGATTCACGTAGCCTTAAAAGATTTGTCTGGTCCAGTGATTAGATATGAATGCATGCTCTCAATTTTGAAAACTGATTATTTTCAAATGCGGTTTCTTTACAAAAGTGACATGCGCATTTCTACTGTTGGAAAACATTTTATGAATTATAAAATTAAACACTTATACGCCAAAAAAAACAATATCTTTCACATTTTGATCAGATAAAGTTTTGAATCAGTCATTGTCCGCATCTTTGCATGAAAGGTCACTCGGCTTACATGTCCCTTTAAAGAGTAAGTTTTTTAAAAGTGAGGGGGGGGAGGGGGGCCTGGGGGGGTACAAAAATCGTTCTCTAGGAATATACCTTAAATTAAGCACTTTATTCCAAAATTATTACTATTATGGACAATTTTGTCGGACGCAAAAACTGAATTGTCTCTTGTGACGTCAGAATACAACTGTACTGACTGAGAGTGTACACATTCTACGTTGCCATCAATTGTTACTTGAATCTATTCGAGTAAAATTGATTTCAAAGTAAACTATATTTGATTATAAGATTTTTACAAGAAATAAACTGCGAAATGACTGCAATGTCTAAATTACACAGTATATGGAAGAAAACATTAAAAACTGATCACCAACTGTCATGTCTCGTTGGACACCCTGTATATGATTCTTGATCAAGTCATTTTATTTTATCAGAGATTAACACAATCGAAACTTGGACTACAAAATCTTTGTTTACATTTACCAAACCTGAAACTTTAATGAATTCATGGAATTCGTGGAACTCGGAGGGTTAAAATCGGTTGCCCTTCTGCTTAGAGAACTGTAGTTTTTTTTTAGTAAAACTACATATTTTCAGTTTCGGTAAAACTAACATATTTTCAGTAAACTAACGAATTTTCGGTAAAACTAACATATTTTCGTTTCGTTTTTCAATTTCCAAAAGTGCAAAACTAAAAAATCGTTGGTTTAAATCCTGCGTTTGTTTATGAAATCGAAGATTCTTTAGTTTTGAAAAATCCAAAACGAAACAAAAACTTTTCACTCGTTTTTAAACATATTTCTATATTACATATTTTTCCCTTTTGAACACTCCATTTCAAAATCACTCCGAAATGCTATATATAGTATACTGTAATAGAAAATGAAAGACATACTAGTAGATTAAAAAGTCGTAATTATATTCCATAGAATTTTGAAGATCACTGTAGAAGTTAACTGATGAAAGAATTGCTTTCTGGGGAATATTTCGGATATTATCACGATGTTCAGATCTCTGAAATTAATAGTCAGTGAGCCTTCACCTTCGAATTTAATTACGATTTTAGTAATTTTATAGATTTTGAATATTAAAAGTATATTCAATTATCAGTATTATCATAATATTCAATATTTAATGTTTGTTATGGATTTTTAATGAAAGATCAAAATCTGATCAGCTGTTATTCCGGGCATACTTTTATTTTGTCAGTTTCTCGTGCAATATGGGCTGTTAACCAAAGAGAATAGAATATATATTAGAGGGGAATTTACTAGAAAAAAGTGTAAAACGGCCATTTTGTTGCATTGTTTCCATACTGCCGGTGTACTTCACTTATTTATGCTTTTTAACCTTTTGGGCCCAGGAATATCATTTTATAGAAAATCTAAAATTAATGTTAAAAGAAAACCAAATTATGAAATAGACTGGTTTCATAATTGACCAATGATCATTTCACATAGACTCTATGCCTTTCACTTTACAAACAGCACTATCAGATAAGAGAGGGAGGAGGAGGGGGTGCTCTTAATACTGTCTTAACGGGAAATAAACTCGATCCCGGAGGGGAAACTTAGAATGAAATGTTTTCATGCAAAAAAGCTTGTTCAATAATAGAAATAAAAAATTAATATTTGCAAAACATTAGAACGGATTATTTTTTAAATATTTAAAATCATTTTAATTATTAATTTCTATAATTTTGGACATAATACGAAATTTAGGGAAATGGCCGTATTCGAAAACAAATCGAACATAAAGATAGTTTCATTAATATTCAATTTTTGAACATCCTTCCTGATAAGCTGTGCCTGACATAATACTAAAATTAAATTCCCCCTTGCCTGTTTATTTCCAGAATTTTTCGTTCACCTAAATTTTGTATCTTTATGACCCCACTTTCCGATAATTACAAGCGTAAAATAAAGCTTAGAATTAAATTTAGATTTTCAGCATTCGATGTATAACTTTTTAGCAATAGATATTCAGTCATTTAGTATTTTTCTTTTGAATATTTTTAACATTAGTAAATTAATTTTTCACAATATTTACATTTAAAGCATTAGATATTTACATTTTTAGCATTATATATTCATATTTTTAGCACTAGATATTTATAATTTTAACAATAGATGAATTTTTTTTAGAAAATTAGTTTTTTAGCATTTAATATTTAAATTTTTAGCATTAGATAACTAGATTCTAAACACTAGAAATCTGTAATTTTAAATTTAGATGACTTTATTATTTTTTTTTATTCTTTTCGATTTAGATACTAATTAGTATAGTTAGATTTTAGCATTAGATATTTAGACTGTTAGATTTAAAAAATTTATTTTTAACGTTTTAAAAATTAGATTTTTAGCACTAGAAAATTATAATATTAGCAACATATTTAAAAACTTTTTATTCTTTTTATTTTAAATATTCAGATATTTATAGATCTAAGTATTATATATCCACATTTTTAGCATTATATGTTTAGATTTTCAGCATTAGATATTCAGACTTTTATAATTTCTTTTAACATTACTAACATTAGATTAGATATTTTCATTTTTTCCATGTCAGTTTTAGCATTGATTATTATAATTTTTAACTATTAGACTTTTAGCATGAAATATTTTGACTTTTGGTTTTTTCATTGATTTTATTTCATCCCAACCTATCAGTACAAGACTATCAACATTGTTTTCATATTTCCACCTTCCAGAATCAAACAACACAAAATGTTTATAAAAACAATATTGGCAGGGTGGCCCAATTAGGGTTTTTTTGCAAAAAAGAATTTCGTTCAAAAAAATACCTCGCAAAACTGTGAGTTCCAGCTGCAAAAAATAATTGCACACTGCTCAGCTAGCTCAGATTAGAAAATAATCTTTTACTTTTATAATAAATGTTTGATGAAGAGAACTCGATCTATCTAAATGCTGCAGATTCGTGCAATATTTTTGCATCATTTTCAATATATTTGCAAACTTTTTTTCGCTGAATTTACAAATTCTTTTATCGGGAATTTTTTTTCCGTGAAAATTCTTTATTCACAAACTGTCATGGTTCGTGGGACACCCTGTATATGTGAATGTCTTGTTTTATTATATAGATATTTATAATCATTATAATAATAATGATAATAATAACAACAATAATAAAAATTATTAGTATTCTGATTATCGATATCCTAGATACACTATTTATCTAGGTCGTTTAAATTTAATAACAAAAATAATAATGATTAAAAAATCAATGCAATTATTCTTTCACTTACAAATAAAACGAAATTTATTTTGAAAAGTAATCAATTTTTTTTACATAATTAAAAATGTAAAGAAGTAAAACAATTAGAGTCTCTTGCCCATGCTGTTCCTTACTATTCTCACTTTCTTTCACTTTTCTTTTTCTTTTTTTATTTTTTTATTTCTCTTAAGTTGTGAAAATTGGTTGAATCCTAAGTCGTAATGATCTGTGATTCGTCATTCAGGCATTTGTAATCTAAATTTATAGTTTAGTTTGTAACCACTAGGTGTAGCTCTCCACCTCAAAGTTCATCTTTAAAAAAACGTTATTTGTTACTTTTCAATAATTTGAATTTAAAAAATCATCCAAGCATTTGAGTGAAGGTTGAAATATTATTGTAAAAAAACTCTTTGCACATTATATAAATGAATAACGTCGATATTTCAAATATTGATAATAATACGTTACAACCCTCATTCCCTACACATTGTAAAGTAACATTCTCTGAATGAAAGAACTTCTTTGTCGGAAATTAAGTTTTCTTATTGTGTTTGATCTGACCCCATTTATTCAGGATATTCATGTTGTGGTTTTTAATCCTGAATAACATGTGTCTTGGGGATAAAAATCATTCCAAAACAGATGATAGAATAGAATTTGCATCTCTAGAATTTTGAACTCTTCTTACCTTACTGCAGTTCAAGTTCAAAGATACCCCACCCCTCTCTCTTATACCTATAAAGAGGGTAGGAGTAAAACGTAGACCCCCCCCCCCATACTAGCTATAGGTTCGTCCAGGTCCATCTAATGCACGTATAATACCTCGATGAATGTGACCGTGAAAATCTTTGCGTCGTAATGACTAACGATCTGTGAATGGTCCTAAGGATCCTAAGACACGTGTTATCAAATTTTTTAGTTTATTTTGTTAACCACTAGGTGTCTCTCCAACCCAACCTTTTGTTAAAATAAATAAATTATCGAGTAATTTAAGCACATTGGATTAATCAAGAACTATTTTTGGCACAAACGAAGATTAAAACATTCTCAAAAACAAATTTACTTCAGAAGTCTAAACTATTAATAATGTTTGTACTACAAACAAGTCATATATATATATATACTAGCCTTAGAGAGCGCTTCGCGCCCATCTTCTTAATTAATTGTGAACATGTTCTCTTTGTGTACATCGTAAAACAAAACAAAAATAATTCGCGGATTTTCACAAAAAATTTCGTGGTTTTTCAAAATTTTCAAAAATTTAATGAAGATCGAATTTTGATAGAGACAAATATTTGAAATTTTGATCATTCATAAGCCTTCCCTGGGGTCCCTAGATGTCCCACAAAAATTTGGGCCCGATCGGTTCAGCCGTTTTGACGTTTATTGGATACAAACAGACAAACAAACAAACAAACAGACAGACAAGCCAAATTTATATATAGACTAGCATTATAGGGCGCTACAAATTTATATATAGATATATATATATTTATGTATATATATACTTTGAAACTGACTTGAGTTGTCATTGTAAAAATGTTAAGCATATGATGATACTTCAAGAATGTCTTGATATCAGCTAAAGCCGTTTCATGGTTTTGTGCAATGAGTAGCAACTGAATACTATGGAATAAGAGTTATTTTTTGATTTATTGCCACATAAAAGAATAATTATGCAAAGCTGGTAAATTAAATACATCTGGAGTGCGGTAATAGCATATGAAGAAATAATGATAATGCAGTAATAAACCCTTTTTACATACAAATAGAACAATTTACTTCAGAACCAAATACAGAAGAAAAAACTGGATTATTTTTTGTCTCAGAAATGTACCCCCCACCCCTCTGTTCGTACAGGGGGAGAAGAGACTGGGACGTGCCCCCCCCCCCATCTACAACCTGGTCATGGCACTCGATCTCATATTATGACTCTGAAAGGAGTTTCCACTGGTAGAATAACAGATACTCATTGGTTGAATATTGTGCCTTATTGAGCCGTGAGCCTGTGATAGTGAAACCGAATAATAGTTTTTTGTAAAGTGGTTGCTGCCAGGTGTCAACCGGTCAACCGTCTCAACTTTCATCTCTTGAAATAAAAAAAAAATATTTGTTCACTAATAAACAATTTAGATTGAAATAAAATTGCCCATGTATTAATTGAAATGGAAATATTTTCTAAACTAAATCATTATATAATCATGGTATTTTAATCATTTATAGGTATCTTTTTCTTAAAATTATGTGGTTTGATTTTTCCATTTCGCATAAATTTTAGTCAAAAAAGTATCTCTCAACAATACGTTGAGTAGTAGCGAATAAAATGTTACGCACTGTACTTTACTCAAATTAGTTTATTTTCATTAAGAATTTCTGAATTAATAAATTCTAAACCATCAACAGCAATGTGTTCAAAAATATTTTGCATCCAAAAATTCTTCCTAGGCCTAACATTGTATACAGGGAATACAGGATATAACTAACCCTCACACCAGTAGATTTACTAATTCCTGGATGACAAACAGGCAATATTTAGGTCTATGACTCAGACCAAAACAAAATACTAAACGAAAATTGTCTGCGAATTCAGGAACAGGTCAATATAAAGGTCTATAGCATAGTTAATTATCATTTTTTCGGCCCCCAGTCAGGGACGGTTTGACGGAGGACTGGTTGTGTACTATGTGTACCGATTTTAGAGGTCGGCTGGAGGACGTCATTGAGGTCGAAAAAAAATATTTTCGATAAAATATGTTCGATCTATTCACAAACATTACATATTATGTACTATGTAGAACGATTTAAATCAGATGCCTGGATTGGTTTCATATAAAAAACTGCATCTTTTAAAAAAGTTTCCATCTTTACATATTACGCATACTGTATTTTTTAATTATTACTTTCTGTTGATTCTATGTAGTGGAAAGAAAAGACTAAATATTAGCAGCCATAAAAAGGAAACAATAACAGTGACAGTAATAGTACAATTTATAAATATCAAATGTACATATGAAATCATTATGCAGCCTTTACATATTAACAATAATAAAAATTATTTGATTGCTTTTAAAAATGATAATGCGCCCATCTTCTGTTTAAATTGTGAACATGTTTTCTTTTGATTACATTTTAAAACAAAGAAAAAAATGTTGCGGATTTTGAAAAAAAAATTCGCGGATTTATAGGAATTTATTTTTTTTTACAAAACCTTAAACACGTATTTTAATAATTTTTGATCATTCATAAGCCTTCCCTGGGGTCACGTGAGGTCCCACAAAAAATTTGGGCCCGATCGGTTCAGCCGTTTTGACGTTTATTGGATACAAACAAACAAACAGACAGGCCAAATTTATATATAGATTAAGAATTTCTGAATTAACAAATGCTGGAAAATTTATAATTTATAATCTTTACATAAATTTGGCTTATATTATATATTATGAAATCCGCAAACTTTTTTTTGTTTTTGTTTTATACTATACAAAGAGAAGATGCTCACAGATAGAGCCACAATTAAAAGTTTAAATAGAAGATGGACGCGAAGCGCCATAAAAGCCTAGAAAGAAGGGCGCGAAGCGCCCTGAATGTCTAGTAATTTATAAATTAATAATTAAATAGCGTCAAATATTAGTCTACTAGCAAGGACAGTAAGATAATTTAAACATTTATTAAAAATATCAAAATTGCATTCGCAAATAAAATGATAATTTCTTGGAGCGCTTTTAGAAGTTGAGCTTCGGAAATAACGGCTCCCACACAGTAAGCTCCTAGAACAAAGGCTCCTAATCAACCTCCTCGATAGTTGGGCCAGCTCCTCCAGCTCCTGGGGGAGGGGCTCCTGCAGCTCCTCCAGGTGCTCCACCAGCGCCAGGCATACCTAGAGTAAGTTATTTTATTATTTTCTAATAACTAATAATTCGGCAAGATGGATAAAATACGATCTCATACATAGTTACATGCACACAATGAGACGACGACAGAAAAGAACTTCCGCAGCCTTTTCCTTCTTGAAACGTTGCCAAGTCATTCAGTAACTAATTATTCATGGACCAATAACAAAAATTTCATTTGGATAATTATATTTAACTAGGCTGAGCCGTATTCTTCTATTTCAATTGTATACATGTAAAAATTCGCGGATTTTCAAAATTTAATACAAATCTTCTGTATACCTTCCCAGGAGACATGTTAAGTACCACACAAAATTAAGGGCCCGATCGGTTTAGCCGTTTGAGCGTTTATTGGGTACAAACAAACAAAAAAATAGAATAGTGTGTGTGCGGGGAACACTGTATGAAAATAACAAATGGATAGTTTACTATGAAACCAGAATAAAACGCTGGAATTATTTGAAGTCTCTTCTTTCTAAGAATAGATGTCTAGAGATGGAATTTAAAGAATTTGAGCCGCGGTTTAATTCTGCCAAAACCCGGTTTAAATTAAGCGCCGGCTTAAATTATGAAACATTTGATACAATTTTAAGTGGAACCAACCATATTTAAGCCGCGGCTTAAATTTAAACAGCCGCTCGAATTCTTAAAATTCAGCCACCGGTCTAATAATAGGTAACTAAATATAAAATATGAATTTCCTTAAAATAATGTATACGACAGTTTCTGGGAGGAATGTTGACAGCTTCGACTGTGCGTACAGCACTGCATGTGTTTTTTATACTTCACAGTGCAGTAAACTTAACTATTACAGAGTTCCTTACGTCTTTCAATTATTTAAATTGTAATTAAAACTTTTGGGCAAATTTTACAAATTATTAATGAAGAAAGACTGATATAATTGATCAGCGTCTTTTTATCCCCATAATTAAGAAAAGGAGATTCAAGAATGGAAATAATGGAATGTAATTTAAGGTCAAAATACAGTAGAAAATTTATAAAGCCAATTTGAGAAAATACTGAATAAGACGACATTCGTAAAAGACGACATTCTATCTAACCTTCGCCTGCGCCACCGTAGAGTTTAGTTATGATGGGATTACAGACGGATTCAACCTCCTTTTGTTTGTCCTTAAACTCGTCAATCTAAAAATAAGTCGAGATTTATATGTACAAAACATACGAGAGTCCGAAGTCTGCTCTTCCAGGCACTGGAAATACAAAATCAATCGAATTACGATTTTTAAAAATATGAAAATTTTTATAAGACAAATTTGAATTAGCTCCAATTTTAGACTTTCTACTTTTCCCTTCTTCTTCAGAAGTTTAAGATAAACAAGGCAATCAAGAACATTGACAATGTTTGACCTCTTTTTAAAGTCAAAGGTTACCATCGTCCATGTTTAGTTAGGATAGACGGAAATAGAAAAAATATATTCGATTAGGCAAACAATTCACCTCAGCAAGTTGATTAGCATCCAGCCATTTAATAGTTTCCTCGCATTTATCCAGGATCAGTTTCCGGTCAGTCTCTCCGATCTTATCCTTTAACTTCTCGTCATCAATAGTCGTCTTCATGTTGAAACAGTAGGATTCTAAACTGTTCTTCGCACCAATCTTCTCCTTCTGCTGTTCATCTTCAGCCTAGAAGATATAACAGTTGACTTTCAAAACTTTTGAAATGTCTCATGACGCCATTTTGAAATAGCAATGACCATATTGTAACCCAATAGTACGTTCAATAAATTTTAACAGGTGGAATTTTGCCTTAAAATTGTACATGCTCCATATAAAAGAAAATATATTTTATCCGAGAATTTTCATAACGCAAAATTTTTTTTTTTTTACTTATTTAAAAGCACCACTGTATTTAAACAAAAGTTTGTCCAGAAAATTTGCAAATCAATCATAAATTAAAATCAAAGAGATTTCTTTTCTGTTGTACCTTAAACTTCTCGGCGTCGTTGACCATCCTCTCAATCTCCTCCTTGCTCAGCCTACCCTTGTCGTTCGTGATAGTGATCTTACTCTGCTTCCCAGTCGACTTGTCGCATGCAGAAACGTTTAGGATGCCGTTCGCGTCGATGTCAAAGGTGACTTCAATCTGAGGGACTCCCCTGGGCGCGGGGGGGATGGCGTTCAGGTCAAATTTACCAAGGAGGTGATTGTCCTTGGTCATTGCCCTCTCACCCTCGTAAACCTGGCAACAAAAAACTTTGAATTCATTTTCATTCAATTTTTTATGTTGACCTTTAAAAAAAATTATAACTGAAAAAATGTATCCCTACTAAAACCAAATAATGAATAGTTTTTTTTGAATAACGAATTTATGCTGCGAAGACCAAAGAAATTTAACCTTATCATTATCTGTTTTCAAGGTACTGTTGAGAATCTGAATTGCCATGGAGGGTCAATTGAAATCATGATTTAGAAGAATAAGAAGGAGATAAGAAATATTTTAACCTGAATGGTTACAGCGGGTTGGTTATCACTATACGTGGTAAAGGTTTGGGTCTGTTTGGTGGGAATCGTCGTGTTCCTCTTGATCAAGGAGGTCATCACACCTCCAGCAGTTTCAATACCCAGGGAGAGTGGGGCTACGTCGAGTAGGAGGAGGTCAGAGACAGCCTCGTGAGTATCACCAACGAGAATAGCGGCTTGAACAGTGGCGCCATACGCCACAGCTTCATCAGGATTGATACTCTTGTTCAACTCACGACCGTTGAAAAAATCCGCGAGAAGTTTCTGGATTTTGGGGATTCTAGTTGAGCCACCGACCAGAACGATATCGTGGATTGAGGACTTGTCCATCTTAGCATCCCTCATCGCCTTCTCTACGGGTTCCAAGGTCCCCTTGAAGAGATCAGAGCACAGCTCCTCAAATCTAGCTCTGGTTATTGTAGTGTAGAAATCAATACCTTCGAACAGAGAGTCAATCTCTAGGTTAGCCTGTGCACTGGCAGACAGTGTGCGCTTCGCGCGCTCACAAGCAGAGCGCAGACGTCGCAGAGCACGCTTGTTGCCAGTAATATCCTTCTTGTGCTTGCGCTTGAACTCGTTCACAAAATGGTCGACCATTCTGTTGTCAAAGTCCTCTCCTCCCAAATGAGTATCTCCAGCAGTAGACTTGACCTCGAAAATACCCTCCTCGATGGTCAAAATCGAAACATCAAATGTTCCGCCGCCGAGGTCGAAAATCAGAACATTGCATTCCGCCGATCCTTTCTTTTTGTCCAATCCGTAGGCGATGGCGGCGGCGGTTGGTTCGTTAATGATCCTGAGAACATGTAGGCCGGCGATAACCCCAGCGTCCTTGGTGGCCTGACGCTGGGAGTCGTTGAAGTACGCCGGGACGGTCACAACAACTTCTGGGACAGATACCCCAAGGTATGCTTCAGCAGTCTCCTAAACAAAGCACAGATTTTTTGGAAATTTTCCGAGCTTCTTCGTTTCGTCGCTTCAGCAGTCTCCTAAACAAAGCACAGATTTTTTGGAAATTTTCCGAGCTTCTTCGTTTCGTCTCTTTAGAAAATAGCTGTAGACTTTTAATAAAACTCTGCAGTGCCCGTCAAGTAAAAGAGTTTTATATTCAATGATGTATTTAACTGAAGAATTCCCCCATCAATTGAAATAAGTTTTAACATATTAACAAAGTGAAATAATATGATTAAATAGGGGGGGGGGGGGGAAGTGATCTGATAAACCTTACACTTTCTATCTGATGTTAGTAACGAAATGAGAGGGGGGAATTTTCCACTTTTATTTACAAAATTATTATCCAATTGAAGCCTATTGTGCTGAACATTTTTTTCCCTAATGAAAGAATTCAGGAATTCAGAAAATGTAAAAAATATGATAAAATGAAGGGTAATAGAGGGAAAGTGATCTTGACTAACAGGTAGGTGTTTAAAGCTTGTCTTAAAATCAGGCATTTTGGTAAAAAGAATTTAAAAATATGGAAAGTGGGGAAAAAAAGGAGGGAAGGGGGAAATATTTTCCCCCTTTTTATTTCGTTATACAAAACTACTATCAAATTGAGGCTTGTCTACATTTGAAAAAAATTTATTCATGAATACGAAATCTGAAAATATTAACAAAGTGGGAAATATGATAAAATAGGGGAAAAGTGAAAAACCTTAAACTTCGTTCTGATGTTAGCAATGAGATTCTTGACTTAACAGATAGGTGCTAGAAACACAGATATGTGCTAGAAACACCTAGACACCTAGCTGGTATATGAATCAGACTTTTTGGTGACAAAGCTCTAAAAAAATGGATTGGGGAAAAAATCTTTTTTTCCAATTTTTTTTCAAACTATGCCCATATGCAAAATTTCATTCAGATTCCTCACAAAATGAGGACAGGATTCCCAAACGTATTTAACTCACCCCCCCCCCCATTTTAAAGAATCTGAAATTTTTAAAGAAGAAACGGATATCACAGAAGTAAGTATATAAAAAGCGAAATTTTGAAAATTATGTTCAAAGTTACCTTCATCTTGACGAGAACCATACTAGAAATTTCCTCAGGAGTAAATGTCTTAGTCTCATTCTTGTATTCCACCTGCAGCTTAGGTAGGCCTCCAGAATTAACAACCTTCATGTAAATATCAATTAAATTTTCACAATTAAAACTGAGCTGGGAACTTTTATTTTGTGAATGTCGGGATCAACACTTGATCGATTGATCTTTGTTAATCTGCAGATTAATTCAATATTAATTCCATATGAGGCATGGTGCATATTTTTAATGCTGCATGTGATGTTATCATCCGATATTTTAAAATATCAGAGAATTTCGCAATTGAAAAGAATAATTTCTGATTTAAGTTTTTTTTTAAGTATCCTGAAGGGCTTTGTCAGATCAAACTTTTGATATTTTTATTTGTGGTTTCTCAAGTGCGCATTTTTTATACAAGCAAACATATTTAAATTAATCCTAGAAAAATGCAATATCTTCCACATTATTGATCAGATAACGGTATCAACGGAACCGTTGAGAATCGGGTATTGTCATTGCATGGAAGGTCAATTAAATTACACGTACAGTCCCTTTAGACAAGAACATAAACTTCAAAATAATTGGAATTACCTTCAGTTCAGGAAACAAACGAAAATTTGAACAATTAATCTACATCAGTGAAGGAATTAAGATTTGCCACTGTAGACTCTCTTAGATTAGATTGGTTAAGAGACACAGGATTGACCAGAAAGGATAAGACTAAAAAAAGGCTCAAAACTCTAAAATATGACGATTTAAAGCTTGATTTGTTTTATGTTCAATTAAATATTTTGATGGTTTAATAAGTTGTTAAGCACAGAAATAATTGCTAGTTTTGGTCTACAAGGAATACTAAAAAGAAACTGAATAAAAATTTGTTGTACAATCGTCTCTGAACTCTCACCTTGTGGGTTAAAGAAAATGAATTAAAATTAAATGAGACAATTTCAATTCCTTACCGTATGAAATCGCATGAAAATATTTAAATACATCTTCGGTCTCATTACCTTGAATGGCCAATGCTTCATATCGGCTTGAACTGTGGCATCTTCAAACTTACGCCCAATCAGTCGTTTGGCATCAAAAATAGTATTGGTCGGGTTAACGGCCACCTGAAAAAAAATAAAAACTCTTATGCCTACCAATATAATTTTAGAGAGGTTAATACGAACTACAGACTATAATCTTAATTAAGCTTATATTTTTAAGTAGGATTTGTAAGTAACAAACTATTCATTATATCAAAAGCTAATTTTATTTCGAATTTGAAAAAAAGCATCTGAAATAACATAAAGTTAAGAAGTTTCAGATCAAAAGAAAAAGAAGCTGAAAAGCTGAATTCCTAAAATAAACAGAGCTATTAAATCTCGAGAATAAACATTGAAAGATCAGGATTATCACAACAACTCTTGAATATCCCCAGATACAGCGCGGGGGGGGGGGCGCGGAATAAGGCACATGTATACAAAGTAGTAATAGCTCTTTGTGTGTCAGATTTGAACGGCCTTTGGTTGATACACTAACATTTTGATCAAGGGATTAGGGAACATTCATTGCTTGGTTTAACGAATTGTCGAGATCCAGGCAAAGCTGGGTTGCCAAGCTAATTCTTTATTGCTTTTCTACGTTTTAAAAAACATATTCACCATTCCCGTCCAGCCTTTTTTACCTGGTTCTTGGCGGCATCTCCGATCAATCTCTCGGTGTCAGTAAATGCAACATAACTCGGGGTAGTACGGTTTCCCTGGTCATTCGCAATAATCTCAACCTATTCATAGAGAAAATTAAAGTAAATAAAGTCAGCTATGAATTTGGAGCGGAATTTAACAAAATTAAGATATACGCAACAAGGTTACATAACAAATGGCTAAGCAATTACAAATTAAGATGACAGAATAGAAGAGAAAACTTTCAGTAAAACTCATGATCCACCAAACAAGACATGTACAGTAATAACCAAAAAACTAGAATATGAAGACGACATTCACCTGAAGTGAATTTCATATTGTTATAAAGTCATATAGCTTTGCTTGAAAGTTAAATGCAATAAGTGAATTGGTTTGATAACACTACTTTGGACTATTTTAATACCTAAAAGTCTAAAGTTGTCTTCCAATTCCGGTGTTAAATGTTTATCACCGTCTTTAAAGGACAATAAGATGAGTTAAATAACAAAAAATGTGTTAAAATCAAAAAAACAGAAAAATGGAAAGCAGGTAAGGAGTCCGTCCTAGTGAACGATTTTTGGACCCCCCCCCCCCTCCTATCAATTGTGTACATGATCAAATTAGTATTTATTTAGTATTATCTAGGGTTAGGTTAGGTTAAGACACTTTCTGGGCCGAGCGCTGCGGCTCGGATGGGCTAGGGGGCCCAGCACGGGTTAGGTTAAGTTAAGACACTTCCTGCCAGACCCAGACAAAATTGATAGGAGGGGGGGGGGGGGGCCAAAAATTGTTCTCAAGGAATACCGACTGTAATAAGTAATTAATCATACATTTTACATTTTAACTATAATATTTGAATAGAATAGTTAATTTGATACCTTTCCATGTTGGAAGACCCCAACACATGAGTAGGTTGTCCCCAAATCAATACCAACAGCAACTCTTATCGTAGCAGACATGGTTGTGGTCTGGATGAACGTGTTTAAACAACTAAAGTTTCAAATCACTTCGGAGTGAAAATATAACTTTTGCTCTCGAATATTCTCTTTATTCTACGAAAGCCCAAAGATTCTTATTGGTTGAGCCGAGAATACTCTGCTGTGATTGGCTGAAAATATTTCATTACTTTTACGTCGTTGAAATTCCATGAAATAAGATGTCAAGGGGTATAATAAGAACGCAGTACGAGGCCCAGGGGAGGGAGGCCGGGGGTTGAGTTGAGGATTGTTGTTATATATGTTGATTGCATTTATTTCTAATTTTCATTTATTCCCTCCTCTTAGTAATTTGTTCATTGATTTTCTTTATCCTTTTAATTGTATGGTCATGACTTCCTTTTTTTATTTTCAAATATCTTTCACCCTTTTTCCCCTCGATATCTTACCATCTCATTTGCTTTCCTTTTCCTTTCTTTTTTTCTGATCTTTCAGTTTTTTCCATTAATTCCTTTCACTTTCCCTATAAATCCCCTTCCTTACTTAATTTCCCCCTCCCCCTTTTATCTATTTATCTGCTAAGAACCCTTTCCGACCTTCCCTTTCCATCTCTTTCTCTTCATATTCCTTCGCCTCTTCAACATGCACTACAAAATGTCGAAAAAGGTTAAAAAAAGTGGAATGGTGGAAAAGAATACAGAATGATGGAAAAGAATACAAAATGATGGAAAAGAATACAGAATGATGGAAAAGAATACAGAATGATGGAAAAGAATACAGAATAATGGAAAAGAATACAAAACGATGGAAAAGAACACAGAATGATGGAAAAGAATACAAAATGATGGAAAAGAATACAGAATGATGGAAAAGAATACAGAATATTGGAAAAGAATACAGAACGATGGAAAAGAATACAGAATGATGGAAAAGAATACAGAATGATGGAAAAGAATACAGAATGGTGGAAAAGAATACAGAAGGATGGAAAAGAATAAAAAATGATGGAAAAGAATACAGAATGATGGAAAACAATACCGAATGATGGAAACGAATACAGAATGGTGGAAAAGAATACAAAATGATGGAAAAGAATGCAGAATGGTGGAAAAGAATACAAAACGGTGGAAAAGAATACAAAACGGTGGAAAAGAATACAGAACGGTGGAAAAGAATACAAAACGGTGGAAAAGAATACAGAAAGATGGAAAACAGAATGGTGGAAAAGAATACAAAACGGTGGAAAAGAATACAAAACGGTGGAAAAGAATACAGAATGAAGGAAAAGAATACAGAATGGTGGAAAAGAATACCGAATGATGGGAAAGAATACAAAATGATGGGAAAAAATAATACAAAATGATGGAAAAGAATACCGAATGATGGAAAAAAATACCGAATGGTGGAAAAGAATACAAAATGATGGGAAAAAAGAATACCGAATAATGGAAAAGAATACAGAATGGTGGAAAAGAATACAGAATGATGGAAAAGAATACAAAATTAATGATGGAAAAGAATACAAAATGATGATAAAGAATACAGGATCAAAGATAAATGTTGAAAAAAGATTAGAAAATAGGAATACAGGAAAAGTGTTTAGTATGAAGTAAGGATATTTTACTGTGTACAGTGAAACCCTTAATAACGAATACATCGGAAGAATTTATCAAATGTCGTCTTGACAATTTTTCAATGAGCTTTATACTACATTACGTAAATTTCAGTATTTGCGAAAATAAATGAATATCTATGAATATGCTGGAACACTTTTAAAGAGTTCCATACATAGAGAATAGAATATATATATAGAGAGGAATTTACTAGAAAAAAGTGTAAAACAGCCATTTTGTTGTACTGTTTCCATACTGCAGGTGTATACTTCACATATTTATGCTATATGACCTGTTGGGCCCTGGAATATCATTTTATAGAAACTAAAATTATTGTTAAAAGAAAACCAAATTATGAAATAGGCTCGTTTCATAATTGACCAATGATCATTTCACATAGACTCTATGCCTTCCACTGTACAAATGATGATTTTCCGTTATAACTATAAATCAAATGATGTTTTTATCCACCTAATTCATTATAAAGTTTATTTAACAGCTTTAAAAATTTCGAAATTGAAATGAATAGTCTAGGGAACTGTTTATAATTTGTGAACATTTACATGATTTGTACACTTTGAACTCCCTTTCAGGCTGAAAGGGACTGAAAAAATTCATACCGAGAGATTCTTTTAATTCCTCTCTATATATTCTATTCTCTATGGTTCCATATACTTATTTAATTAAAAAAACTAAATATCTGCAACATTCCACGACATGATGAATTCTTTCGATGTATTCGTTATTACGGGTTTCACTGTAGTATAATTAAAACCTCTAAAAACTCTCCGTCCGGTTAAAAGGGAATTTAGTGGACCACTTCTTTCACTTTTCTGAAATGATAAATATGCCAAATGCGAAAAATATAACAATTATGAAACATCCAATCTTGTAAAATAAATAAGCAAAATAATTGATTTTAAAAGTTTTGAGCTTTTTGACTCGTTCCAGGAAAGCTTTTTTTAACGACACCTTTGTAAAAGGAATTTTACCAACTTTTTTTCCGTTTTTGTTTTTAGCCAATCGTTTCGAAAATTTCATAATGATTTCTAAAAAATGAAAGTGCCCAACCCTAGTTTTAAGTATAGGCTTGATAGTTTTGATCCCAACTAATAAAAATTAGGATATTTTAAGTAGTTGAAAGGTGATCTGGGTCCGCATTTTTTAATGAGTTGAGATAAATTTGAAATGCCGCCCGGTGTGACGTTTAAACTCGTCCGGTGTCACGTTAAATAAGGCCCGGGCGTTATATTTGGTCCGGGTGAGTGTTACATGTGAAATCCATGTACAAAATTGATAGGAGGGGGAAGGGACCAAAAATTGTTTAATTTGACGGACTTAAAGCTGCACATTATCATTGTTATTGAAATTGTTACAATTTTTTGTTTGGTAGGCCATAAAATTAAAACTTAGAAGCACACACGTTATGTACAATATTTAAGCATGTTTTGCACTCTTTTGCAGACTAAAATTTTAGCTTTATATACTCTATCGTTTTTGCTTAGGTCGTCTTTGTATTGCACCCGGGCCAAATATTACCCCGGTCTGGATGTAACGCGCGCTACACCGGGTGTAAATTGATGTCCGGGAAGTGTGGCACTTCTTAACGATTTGGACATCTTCCTTACACTATTAAATTACGAAGCACCGAATAAAGCAACACTAGTAAAGATGTAAAAAAACTATATTTCGTCTTGAATGTCGTCTTCTTTTCAAAGTAAAACTTGGATATCTGAACTTCTAACCCTTGTACAAGTAAAAATTATGTAATAATTAGTCGTAATATGTAAAGGAATCTATTTAATATTTTTAGGTACAGTACCAAGGGCATTATCTCACTCCTGGACACTTTTTAACGTGACACCGGTTCAAATCATAAATCACCAATTCAAAGTCCTCTTGAATCTTTCACTTAGAATCAGTGGTTCAAGATTTGAACCGAAAGTAGGTAGTTCAACGACATAGCTTAAATTTATAAATTCGGTCCCTCATCCAGAAACCTCTGCCAATAATTTCAATAAGAAATATAAATAAACGCCCTTTAATTACACTTGAACCGAAGAATGACAAGAAACATTTTGTTTCCGTTTCATTCCGGAAACATTTTCACGCTGCACAGTGTACACTGACACAGAAAATGCAAAAACCGACGGACCTTATCTTTCAGATTTTATAAACTTGATATTATTAGTCTGAGATCAAACTATTATACGTACATAAAACTGTGGAATAGGAAGACGAATGTTAGACTCAAGTTATAATTTTAATTAGTCCAATGAACGTAGCGCACATAATTTGTAAACAGACCCATTTCACCTGATTAGATGAGTTTATGGGCCACTGGTAAAACTTTTAAGTTTTTAACAAAACTAAACATACAGAAAATTGGTTTAAAAGTCGTGTACCTTGTTCATAGTTTATGGGAATATGAAAATGTATAAATACATGAAAAATATTCTTCTCCCTCAAACCTTTATTAACGTGAAAAAAAGACAAGCACAATATTGTAAATAAGTGTTTAAACCGTACAAAAATATTGTTAATGTGTTTAAAACGTACAAAAATATTGTAAATAAGTGTTTAAAATGAACACAAATATATAAAGAAATGTACAAACGTCAGAATTTGTGTAAGAAAAATTTATAAATAATGTTGATATAAACTTTAAATTTTTTTATATAGATAAAAATGAAAAACTATCACTGCAAACTATTCAGAAGGAGAATGTCAAATTTATGCAACATTATGCTCGTACGACTTTGTGACGCCGTTACTTCTCTTGTTTTGAGTTTACGCTCTATTCTGTGATAACCGAATTATACTCTGGAATGGAAAGTCGACTTTTAAACTCGTGTTATGTCTTTATTAGTCCAATGAACATGAGTGCACAGCATTGTTTATTGTAAACAGACCCATTTTACTTAATAATTGATTTAATAACTGAATAGCAAAGCTGTTCGCTTTTGAACAACATCAAATATGCACTTAAGAATTGCTATAATGTCGTCTTCCTATTCTACAGTTTTCTGGTAATCACTGTAGCATGAGAAAACAGATTTTTCCGGTTACAATATGTTCTTCATGCAAAAGAACATTAATAAAATAATTTATGATTGAAAACATAGAAGATTTCAATGTTACGTGTAAGTTACATAAGTTTAACGTGCAATCTATAATATAAATATAAACTTTGCTTGTCTGTCTGAATTTCTGTCTGTTTGTATCCGATAAACGTCAAACAGCTGAACCAATCGGGCCAAAATTTTGTTTTGGACCTCACATGACCCCAGGAGAGTTTTATGGACGGTCAAAATTTCAAGAAATAGCCTCCAACATAATTCGATTTTAATTAAATTTTGAAAATCCAAGATTTTTTTAAAATCTGCAAACTTTTTTGTTATTGTTTTGCAATGTGTACAAAGAGAAAATGTTCACAATTAAAATAGAAGATGGGGCGCAAAGTGTCCTGAAACCCTAGTATGCATGTAATTCATCTACTCCTAAATAGTATAGAACAAACGACGTGTATGACCCTTCCATTTCCATTATTTTTCACCTGGATTAAAAAAATTGTCTGCATAAAAAAATTGACTGTATAAAAAAACGGGTTTTCCAATTTAAAGTTGTGTTTAAATATCTAAATAAAATCCAATTTGAAGGTTCTATCCCAGTTTTCAGGTATTTATGGTTTATGAGAAAAGTCTTTAAGCTTTATCTATTAATTTAATTTAAAACTTGAGAAAAATTTGAACCAAAAATAGGTTATTACTTTTTCATCAAATTTGGACCCTCTCTTCTCTACTAAAAAAAAACAAAATGTGGACAATTCCCCCGCCCAACCCCTCCGCTCTTCTAAAACACAAAATAGCAAAGTTATCAGATCAACCAATGTCAAAGGATCAAAACTGTTGAAATGATAAAAAAATTTACTCTTTCAAAAATTTTAATGAGAGTACGTTTCCATTTGATTTAATCGCCTTGAAAAAACATGTTTCGTGAATTTTGGGCGGAAATATTAAGAAAAACGGATGTGAACCTCATTATATATACAATTAATAATTATACCACATTCATAACAAATGATTTAATTTAAGAATAAGATGAAAAGAAAATTCTGATATGGTTTCGAGAAGGAAGTATAGAGGAGTTTACATGGCAGTTAAACTTGAACCATTAACTCAGTTGGGTGACTTGATTAACGCTCCTGTACAGATGAATTCACATGTCACCGAAAATCGTCATTGATAAAAATAATTTTAGTTTTTGCAAGTTTTTACCATAATAGTTTCGAATATGACAGATATTAAAACGTATCAGAAAAAAAATGCATTTATTAAATGAACTGTAAGCGTAATTTCAAGTGACCCTCCATGCAAAGGTGACAATGCCCGATTCACAACGATATCCTTGAAACCTTTATATCATAAATAATGTAAAAGATATTGTCGTTCAAAGTGGTTATTTCTGTTAATTTCAATATATTGTCCTGCCGTAGAAATGCGCAACTCACTTTAGTAAGGAAACTACAAATTAAGAAAAGATTAGTTTTCAAAAGTATGAGAATTGAAATATAATTCATTCTTGACTAGGCAAAGCTTTTAGGGATACCACTGTGCAGTGCATGAATTTAATCTTTAGAGGTTTTTCTAAAAACATAGTTTTATACATTTAGCAAAAATACAAATCATGATGGGACATCATCACAGATAAGATATTTTTAGAAGACGTTCGATAGATGGGATTTTTGACAGAAAGAACATTTCCACAATAAGGGAAATTTTTATAGATAGAACAGTTAACACATATGGTCATCTATAATTCATATCTTATCTATTATATCTATAGAGACAAAAGAATTTGTTGTTTTTTAAATGTTTTTTATCATGAAATATATCTTTGGAATGCAATTTGTGATGAAACCTTTTTTATCGTTGAAATGTCTATATCTACGAAATGTTTATTCCTTTGAAATGTCTACGTTTTAATCTTTAAAATGTTTTTATATCTGTAAAGTATTTGTATATTTGTAATGTATAAAACCTTTAAAATTTTCTTCACTGTAAAAAAACAATTTATAAGAACCGATTTTAAGACAGAAAAACAAGAATATCTTCTTCATATGGAGGTTCACTTTCAATTATGTTTGCAGTCCCATGAATAAAGTACAACGATTAAAAACTGTTCAGTCATCCTGGTAAACACAGCTATATAGTTTAATTCAAGGAATAAGCTAATCAGACTCAATTAAAACTAATTCATAACAGCAGACGGTATTTCAAGTGATCCAATTCAGACTGGCCGGTCCGATTTACAACGGTACACTTTGTCTGATCAAGGATGATGAAGAAATTCTGATTTTTGTCGCTGAAAATTTGGTTTTTTTATTCTCACAGAGAACATTCCAGTTTTTCTTCTTCTGCTTTATAGAAAAGTAAGGATTTCTTGGTTATCTCGTATAGAGTTTTAATTGGACACTCTACAGTCTACAGTTCCTTTCACATGTAAATACCCCCTTTTAACTCACATTACAATAGCTTTAAAATCTTTAGACTGCGGAATTTAAGTGAAAATGGAGCGAAGTTAATTTATTGAATTTGTTTATTATAAATGTATTTCCGGGGTTTCATTAAAATTTAAAACATATTAAATAGCGAGCTATTTCAGCATATGGACGGCCGGGGGGGGGGTGGGGAATCCTCTGTAAGTATCTAATAATGCTTTTTAAAATTAAATTCAATCATTACCGATAAAGATTAACTTAAATTAATAAATCAAATGGTATCAAAAAAAGTTTTTTATTTATAATGGCAAAAAACGATTCATGAGAATTTAATTTTAAGATTTAAAAATAAAAAAAATGGTAGAAGTTTTTCGTTTATCATAACATGTTTACTCTGATTCCTTTAATAAGCGATGGAAGCTATATCAATCTAAACTTACGATTTAATAATTGTAAACAATCAATGCTACAAGTCAAACTAAAGTAATTTTGAAATTTACATGTTTTTGATGATAAATCCTCTAATTGAACAGCTGTTGAAAAGAACAAAAATGTTTTAATTTCTAATTTAAATCCGGATGAATCCGGCAAAATCAAAACAAGAAAAACTATGAGGTCACAAAAATTCGGTCTAAAAATGTTGCACAAATTAGACCTTCTTCTTCCGGTTAGTTAGCAGTGCAGTAGTTTAGTTTGCAATTAGATTTTTGCTATATTTTCAGGAAGATGAACTCACAGGATAAACTTGATTTACGTTAATCTAAATTTTAAAAAAATTTGATGACATGAAAAAATATTTTCCTCTTTTTTTAGGAAAGTTCGATGAAGAAAAAATGTTGTGTTTCCAAATACTGGAAATAACCAGTTGGCAGTCTTGTCGGTAAACACACAAAATGTCCGGCTATTATACTATTTACAGTAAATAAGGGTCACCCACCAAATCACGTTAAACTAAAGCAAATTGCACGTTAAGTTAAGTATTTTATGTTTTCAAGAGTTATCAAGAAAAATTGTATTAAATTTATTATATAAGAAACCAAATAAATTTGGGTTTTTTTAGTCAAAACCAGACCCAGAGTAGCCACAAGGTCACAATATTGTACCAGTGTCAATTTGACTTGCTCCGCCTGTCTAGTTTGCAGTGCCATACCCAAATAAAATACTTAAAATCTATAGTATTTAGTATATTTTCAGAAAAAATGCTGGTTTTTTTGATGTTTTGTTTCTTATGTTTTCTGCTGACAAACTTAGGTAAACGTATTATTGTATGGGACATAGCAGTTTGAAAAATAGACAATGAACTGATTCCTCGCCTTAAACTCTATTAGTATAATCAAAATATCTTTTTAATGATACAGATTATAAACATGGGAATTAAGAGACGAAAATATTCATAATGTCGTCTTTGATTTGTGATAATTGATTAATTATCCTTACAGTGTATCAAAACAAGATTGAAAGTCTTTTAAGCTTTCCAAAATTTGGTCTACCCTCTTTATATCTTTAAAATTGAAAAGTTTTGTTGATTTTAAAAAACTGCAGCCTGAAAAATTTTCTAATATCTCCTTCAATTTGAAGGTGAAAAAATGGTAGACCACATTTTGGAAATCTTGGTGTTAAATGTTTTAACTGCGAAATTGTGTATATGAAATAATTCCGCTTATAGAATAAAGGCGATTTAGAAGTCGTCATTTAATTACCATGTTTATTGGGAAACCCTGTACAATGTACATGTATAATGTCGCAGAACTTTGATATTCAAAACTCTGAATACCAAAGGTTTCTTACATCAGGTTGCAAAGATCTAGGAATTTTAAAATTAGAAATTGCGGCGAGTAATTAGTCCCTGCAGAAGAATTTCTAGAATTTCTAGTGTGCTATGAGAATTGAACTTAATATCATATTTGATCTTTGAGATCTTTTTGATAAAACACACGTTAAATAAATTCTGTTATTAATTTTTTATCACTAAAAGATTTTATATTTTATACTAATTCATGATTATATTGATAAAAAACGTTTCGATTTTATTTTCTACCAAAAAAAATTTCATGGATCAAAAAAGATCAAATTTAATTATAAAAGTGTTTCCAATTGAAATTAAGAATAACAATGGAAAAAACAAATAATAATAAACATATACATCAAAAAAGCTTTAGTAGTTTGCGTTTTTTTTTTAACTGCATTGAACTAAGGTAATACTTTGAACTTTTCAGTCTCTGGTTCTATAGCTGGAGGGTCAGCTGGTCTAGCACACCGCTGGGATCCGTACAAGAAATACCTGGTGAACTCTAAACCATATTCCTCAAGTCAAATTCAAGTAAATTTATGCTTAATCAAAATATCAAATGCTTAAAACCCTTGCTCATAACCTTTAAAGAGGTTTTGAAAAAATGTTAATACCTTTCTGAATTTCTATAAATGTGCAAACAAATAAATTTGCTTTTGATCACTACAGGGCAAAAAATACAATATGGAGGAGCTTCCCAGTAATTTAGCATAATTTGGACCTTTTCTTTTTTTTTAGATTGAACTGCCTTATACCCTCCAGCAGCAAGGAATGCTGGCGGTTCCCACAACTCAAACTAAACTAAAAAAAAACCAGGAGGAAAAAGGTAGAGTTAAAAATACTTTAAAAGGACTGTCAAAGTGATCGTTTACTTAACAAAGAGGCATGCACAATTCACAAGGATACCTATTAAACCTTCGTTAGAGCAAACAGACCTGAAAACTTTAGAATGGTGAATATCAAGATTATATATAAATGCTTAAACTCTCATGATTTTACTAAACCCAAGATTATTTAAAACGCATTCGATATCCAAGAAAGAAGTTAAAATTTTAACCAATCAGCGTATCATGTTAAGATGTACTCTTTAATTTGTGAAAAAAACCGGTTTTGATTTCTGGTGTTGATGGTGTCATATCAATTGAACTAAACATCGATTGAAAGAACATAAGTTTTTGTCTTCCGGATTAATGTTTATTTTTTAAGACATAACGTTAAAAATGACAATAGTCCTAAAATATGTTTTTTAATAATTTCATATTGATTAAATTTATTTTAGCTTAAATGCTTTAAAAGCCGGCTTGTGAATTCAGTTGACTTTAATTCAATCGGATATTAGTCCAATCAATATAGCATTGTATCTGTAATTGTTATCAAACGTAACTTTTATATCGAAAAAGAGGATTCTAAGAAGAAAATAAAAAATATGTACATTGGAAAATCAGATTTAGGATATCTCATTCTTAAGCTTTCAGCTCAGAATGAAGATATTCTTGTTTTTTTTAATCTGAAAATGAAATATTTTCAATTGTTGTTTCTTTGTTAAACTTTACTTGCAAAGGAACTGAGTCTTTGTCACAAACTCTGATTTTATAATACCTATATCTTTGCAATCCAATTTCGTAGACGTTAGATATTTCAAACTTTGAATTCTGTTAGATCAAATAGCCCAAGTTTGAAATATCAAGGGTTTCCACCATTAGGTTGCCAAGATATAAGGATTAGAAAATTTGAGTTAGTGGCAAAAACTCAATTCCTTTGGCAGCCCAGACAAAAAAGAAAATGTAACGCTTTTTTTGGAAAAAGAACAGCGATATCTTCCACATGCAGAAAAATAAAAATCGACAAGATAAAAAAATTTGTAAAAGTTATTTTTTATTTATTTAGATAACTCCGAGAATGATGGTCGAACCATGATGGCCGGTATATCTGTGAATCCAACCCTGTGGTATACCGGGGTATTCCAACCAGAGAATATTCTCATCCATGTCTCACAAAACTTTTTTAATTTCTTCTCATCCTCCATGTTTTGGTTTATCCTCATGGCCCTGACACAGGTGATATATCTATATATATATAAAGTAGTAATCTCTGTTTGTTTCTTTGTTTGTATGTCCTATCATAACTCAGGAACCCCTTGATCGATTTGCCTCAAATTTTGATTGGGGAACTCGGGAGAACCATGGGAATGTTCTTTGCTAAGTTTTAAAATCATAAGTTTAGTGGGTCAACTTTTACAGGGAAAAATAGCAAATATATCGATGTACGATCAAGCTCGGGTAAACAGCAGGAGTAACTATAAGTTCCACGGGCAACGCCGGGTTCCCACGCTAGTTGGTGATAAAATAGTTACAGGGTTACCCACAAAGATTGAGTCTATCAAAGACGACTGTACAGAATGTATACGGTCTGTTTCCTTATAATTCATGATTCCATGAAAAATGTAAAATGTAGACTTCTTTGCCAAATAATTATATTAAATAACCCATCCATAAAAAGAATACAGAAGACCTCATTTTACATTGAGATCATTATAAGTAATGAGTCATTATAGGAATATTCTTTGTGGATAACCCTTTTTCTTCATGGTTTCCATAAGAATCTGATCTAATGGATAACTTTAAAGAGCTTAAAACTGAAGAAATCTTTTCTTTCAAATAATGCTGACGATTGACGGTGTAATCCTTTGATATTTCAAACATTATTTAATCTAACTTCTTAATTCATAGTCTACGACAGGGGGTTGCAAAGATATAGGAATGACAAAATCAGAGTTTGTGACAAAGACTCAATTTATTTAGGGGACAGCTCTAGGCTCTTAAAGTATGGGCTTTAATATCTTTATTTTTTATTGTTTTAAAGGGCACAACAAAACGGAAACGAAGATCTGTGGATGAAGAAGATGTTTTACAACTAGATGAGGTAAAATGTCGTCTTTTTCTTTTTGCCAGCCAAGAAAGACTCTGTAGTAGGAAGACGACTTTTTGACTTAATTTATAACTTTAAATAGCTCAATATGCATGAGATACAGTAATTGTGCAGTGTAAACAGACCCATTTTACTTAATTTGTGATAATTTTTAAGTGTCTAGTAAAACTATAAGCTTTGTAACAACATCAAATACACTTAAGTTTTGCTATAAAGTCGTCTTCCTATTCTGGTTTTCTGGTTCTCATGATATAGAATTAATTACTAAAAGAGCAGATATAGCTGTTGAATGGGAAGATGACTTTTAAACTGAAGTTATGACTATTCCACTTAATCAGTGGTTAAAAAAGTTACTATTAAAACTATTCGTTTTTTACAGCATCATATACATTTAAGTTTTGATTTAATGTCGTCTTCATATTTCGCACTTTTCTGGTTCTCATTGTATTTAAATGAGAGAAGAAATTGTCATCATTTAAGTCTACTTACTACACAGATACATTTATCAAGTTAATTTCTGCCAGGTTATAATAAGCTATTAGATACTCAAACGTAGCGAGGTAAAGACGACCTATATAGCAATGGACACTCTAAATTTTCACTTCTTATATTAAAGAACAATAAATTTAGCTGCTCACCAAATATAAACTCAAAAATCAAAAACTTGAATTAGAATTGCATTTTTTAGCTTTAATCTTGTTAGCACAATATCTACTTGTTAGTTAAGTATCAGTGACGTCATATGAGAGGATTTTAGAATGTCAATTTCTTAAAACACGACATTTACCTAGATTTTGAGCGACCCATCCAGAGTATCTTTTATACATACAGGGTGTCCCACATCATATTAGATTGTTAATCGGTCAAAATTACAACTAATCAGATAATTTCAGAAGAATGAATCATAATCATGAATCATTTCTGCACATTCTTTATTATAATTGGAAAGATAATATTTGATGAAAATGTGGTATTTAAAGGAGAAATATATTGTGACTTTTTATTTACAAGTGAAATGCCTGATTCACATCGGTAACATTCAAATCTTTATATGTCGTCGTTTTTTTATCTGCAAAAAATTTGGCTGAATTTTTTACTGTAGGTTCTTTGTCTCTGTTGCAAAAATCCGCAAATCACCCTGTAAAATTATCTAAGAATAAAGGGACTGTAAGCGTAATTTTAAGCCACCTTCTAGTTAAAGAGGGGATTCACAACGGTCCTATAGACCTTTGTCTGATCAAGATTGATTTGCGCATTTCTACCGTGGCAAAACATGTATGAATTATCAGAACACTTATATACCTAGAAAATCGACAATATCTTCCCCATTTTTGATCAGATCAAGGTTTCAAGGGTACCGTTGTGAATCGGGCATTTTCATATTTGCATTTATTTGAATATATGTATGTTTGCGTATATGGGGGACATCCAGCGCCCCCGCCCCCCTGAAAAAGGCCTTAGAGTAAAGATATCTGGTTGCAATTTTCAAAGTTTAATTTTTCAAGTTAAACTCATTGAAAAAAAATTAGACCGCTAACTTTGATACACTAGGTGTCCCAATAAACATGAGAATTCAGTGGCAAATTCAATATCGTCTTTGTTATGAATTAGCATAGTAATACCTAATTTCAAAAGCCATAATATTATTATTTCTGCTATAGTTTATTTTATGAAAACGGTAAATGCATGTAAAGATGTGTCTATAATATCTTCGCAAGATGAACAGTGAAGACGGACAAGTTTCTGTTTATGTACTGTAATTTTCTTTTCTTTTTCTAAGTACAACCATATGCAGATAAAACGTAAACAAACAAATTGTAAACGTAGCAGACGAAAATCTTACGGATTATAGCTTTCTCAGTAGGCATCGCTAAATAAAAGAATTATTTAAAAAGACTATATATATAATTCGTCACTAAATTCCCATGTCTATTGGAATACCATGAGTTTGGGTGCAAGGAAGGTTTGTTTCTACATCCATTATCAAGGGCTTTTCAAAAATGCAGTTTTTAAATCTGTAACTTATAGTCTCAAAAACGTTATGGGACATTTTATGTTCTTTTTTCCGGCTTGTACACTTATAGTCATTAAGCCAATGCATTAAAAAAATTGGGAAAAAAATTAAATTACTATTCCTGAAAAGTCAAGAAATTTCAAGGTGAGAGTATTAAAAATGAGAGTTCTAGGGGGCAAACAAATAAAGGGTGGGGGTTAAACGCCCCTCCTCCCCTTCCCCCCCCCCCCTTCCCTAGCCTGTTTAGAGTTCATCAACTTTTTTCTTCTACCAAGGTTGTGTCTGAGTTTAATTCTGTTCTGGTGGACGGGGATAATGTTGCCTGGTTTCTCCGCAAGATGGCAGAAACTGCAGAACAGTACAAAAGGTAAACACACTGATATTTACATATGTTTATAATAATTTCATCTTATTATTTCTTTCATTTGCGAATCACAAAATTTCGCTATACCCTGAATCTGATATGGACACTTTTTGCTATATTTACTATCATAATTCTAGTATTCTAATTTAGCCAGGTTCTAGACAGGTCCTAATAGTCAGATTCTAATAGCCAGATTCTAAAGGTCAGATTCTAATAGCCAGGTTCTAATAGCAAGATTCTAATAGCCAGATTCTAAAAGCCAGATTCTAGTAAAGTTTAATGAGACTGGATCAAAGTTTTTTGAGATAATATAGTAAGTTTCGACGTTAATATATTTTTCAAAATGTATTATTCCTACAATTAAAGAAATATTAATTTAACAAATATTTCTTTGTTTTCTGGTTCTCATCGTATCTTGTTATGTGTAGGTTAAAGGATGAACTCTGATTCTACAAGATGAACAATTTTATAAACATTATAAATTCAGGAACAGTCCTCATTGTATAGCCACACCCCAAAGAACATAATCAAAGAAAGCATAGAATAATACAGTTGGGTCCATAAAACTATGGAAAAGGAAGTTTAAGCAATCTCAAAACCTTAAAATTTATTCTCACAGTTTTTTTACAATTCCATAGTCCATTGCATATATATATATCTATATAGTTAAATGAAATATTTATATTCAGTTTACAGGTATTTATGAGGTTTCATAGCTCTAGCCATTGTTCATGCTTTTTTCTATGAAGTTCTACCGAATCATTATTCCTTCATTTTCATAAAAATTCCATCATTTCCATTTTTATATTATATTCTTTGTGCCAATTTATCACTGTAAAAAAATGTCAAACATTGATAAAACTGTATTAGTCAAAGTCTTAACATTGAGATATCTACCATGTCTACCACCAAGCACAATAATTTTAACATTGAGATATCTACCATATCTACCATGTCTACCATGTCTACCACTATAAGCTTGATAATAAAAGAAGGATCAAGCATAATAAAAATGATAAATAATTCTAACTTTTATTTTCTCTGGTTGATTAAAAAAGTAAATATTTTTAAAATAAGGTTTAGGAGTAGGACTACGCAAGGTCTATAACCGTTTAAAATTTAGCCCATCAAAAAAATGTTTATATCGATAAAAAGAAAAAGAAACAAAAATTATTAACTTTTAAAAACTAGAAAAAATACAATTTTTATTTTGTTAGCCTTGAAAACAGTAAATTAACAAAAAAAACATTCTTTACAATTATTTTTGATTTTGTCCAACTAAATCATTTCATGAGAATTTAATATTGTCCTCATAGATTTTACATGTTTAGAAGGATAGACACATTTATTGTGAATCATGAAAAATATCGTAATTTTTTTTACTTTCAATTTTAGGATTGTAGGCGTTAGCACACATATACAGTGATAAACATAAAACACTGGAATAGTAAGACGACTTTTAGAATCAAGTTTTAACTTAAAAAATTTCAATGACGACAGCAATTGTGCAGTGTGCAGTGTAAAAAGCCCCATTTTACAAAATAAGGGATTTTACAAGTGTCTTTGTAAAACCATCAAATAGTATTGCTATAATTTCGTCTTCCTATTCCATTAGTATCTGGTTATTACTGTCAAAAAAATAGTAAGACTGTTTCCAGTTCGTTTTCTGAGTCCTTTCTATTTTTGCTTTGCCCGCATTATTGATTAAGAGGTGCTTGCCCCGGAGTTTTGTTTTTGACCCTATCCTTTAATTTTTCTTGATATTTGGGTGTACCCTATAAACCATAGTAAGCACTTGGCTTATCTGGCTCACTAACTCTGCTTATTCTTAACTATCTATGCTAATCTGTGTCCTCTGGTTATAGTTTCTATTAGATTAAGAAAAATGAAACTTTCAAACCCAATTGAGATTTTCGTAAAGAAATTCGTTCAGAAACCTTTGTTTATAATAACCTTTAATCTGCCCTCCTCACCCCTGTAAATCTGTAATTGTTTTTTTATGTAATCCATTTATACCTATCTAGTCACATTTAGTCTCAAATCTAGTCAAGAACTTTAAATTGTAATCTTATTTCCTGTTTTATTTTCACGCAATTAAGATTTTAATTTGGAGAAAGAATTCAAAGGATATTATTTTTTAATGTAAGAAAAAAAATTTATTTATCAAATATTATTTAACTCGACATAAAATACAAATAATTCATGAATCTCTGGACCTGTTAGAAATTTAAAAATTAAAATTTAGAAAAATCTTTCCAAATTTGTTTCTCCTCTTAAACATAATTTTGTTATATTTCTCCTATTTAATTTTATTCTGGTGCTGTTTGTAAAAAAAAACTGCAATTTGTAAATGGTGAAAGAAATGTACGCTGTATTTAATTTTAAAACTAATTTTGATCTTAAAATTTTAAGAAGTTTATGACAATTTATTGAATGTTATTAATTGTTGATACATTATGTAAATTATGTAAAATAAAAGCTTGAATAATAAAGATAAAGGTCAAACAGTCAGTTTTTACTCTTCACTTATAGACGATTTACAATTTCACAAATACAAATCAAATAATATATAATTATTAGTTGTTAAAGCATAACTTTTTATAAATCAATAGTTTCGTCAAATATGTATATCTAGCATATATATGTATATCTAGCATATATATGTATATCTAGCATATATATGTATATCATATCTAGTATATATATGTATATCTAGTATATATATATGTATATCTAGTATATATATATGTATATCTAGTATATATATGTTTATCTAGTATATATATGTATATCTAGTATATATATGTATATCTAGCATATATATGTATATCTAGTATATATATGTATATCTAGTATATATAAAGTTGTAATTTCTGTTTGTCTGTTTGTTTGTCCGATCATAACTCAGGAACCCCTGGAACGATTTGCCTCAAATTTTAAATAGGCAACTCAAGTGAGCCACGGGAATGTTCTTAGCTTGGTTTTAAGATTCTAAGTCGAGTGGGTCGACTTTAAAAGCGAAAATTTAGCTTCCCGGTAAAAATCAACCAAGAGCAGGTAAACGGGTGGATGTAACTATGAGTACCATGGCCAACGCTGGTTTCCCAAACTAGTATCTAACAAACATAACATTATATATAAAAGGTATGCTATTTCGAGCTTAACTAAATTCTAATAATGATATTTTACACGTGAAATATTAATATGTTTAAGTAGAAATAAATTTAAAAATTACTTATAAAACACTCGATCTATAATTTAAACATTTTTCGGAACAACATTTTTCATCTTTTACCTTCGTGAGAGTTGATAAAAAAAATTTGGGACCGATCAGTTTATATAATTTTATATAATAAAAACAACCAGACAGACAAGCAATCAAAGTATAACTTTATACACATATGAAGATTTAAAAACTTGGAAAACTTAGAGATTTATTTTATAAAATTATTAAGAACGGGATAAACTATAAACTTAAAAATGTGGTCAAAAACAATTTTAAAACATATAATTATAACACTTTATTTTCAATATGTCAAATTTTTTTTTAAGTGTTCAATATTCCAAATGAACTTATTATTCTTGGACACCCTTTTACAGTATATAGAAGTTAAAGTGTAGATGATACTAGATACAATCAATTCATATAAGTAACATACAAAGAGTGAATTTTTAAAAGTAAACTAGCAATATAGTTTCAGATTGAAATATGTTTCAAATAACTTATAAAACCCCAATATTATTATACTTCAGTTAAGATAACGGTTAAAAACCACTTTTTATTTTCAATTTCTTTATTTTTTGGGGGATTAACATGTCAAAACATTGAAAAGGGAGTCATGGAGCGTCGACAACAAATATACCACAATTATTATAAACGGGATCCATATATCTCCATAATTACCTCTCAACAACAGAGTGATTAAAACTAATTTTTAAATTATGAAATTACAATTTTTCCACTTTTTTTAGTGTTTCAAATATCTTTAGATATTGTAAAAAAATAATTATTTTGTGGACACCATGTGTATACTGCAGTGCACGTATATATACTATAAATTCATGAAAACATAGAAGGGCTGCTGCACCCACCCCAGGCCTAACCTGTTATACACACACCCAGACACAGACCAGGCTTATTCAATAGGTCATGACATTTAAGCATTTTAATGACCAAAACTTGAACCACCGAAGCAGGTGGCGCCTGGGTGAGGCGCCTCAGTTAGGCGCCGGGTATATAAAGAGATCCACTACATTAGAAAGGTATCAGTTGATCACAACCCACAAGACCAACAACATGAAGGTAGACAATAAACAAATAACGGTTTAATATTTAACTTGAGATTTTTAACATCTTTTTACTAACATTTGAAATGAATGCTTAAAACATTTAGCTAAAGATTGCATTAAGCAAAAAACTCAATGTTCATAAATGAAATTGACCTTACTCCTACACCTACGGAGTTTCTGATGACTACTCCAAGGCCGCCTTCAACGCCGCTGAGTCTTCCAACGGAGACGGAGCCGTTACCGGAGAATACTCTGTTGCCCTTCCCGACGGCAGAACCCAGCACGTCAAGTACACCGCCGACCACTACAACGGATACGTCGCTGATGTCACCTACGAGGGAGTCCCTGTCTATCCTGAGGTCAAGGCCTACGCCCCCAAGCCTGCCTACGCCCCTGCCCCATACAGCGCCTAAGCAAACAACGATAATGCCTAATATTTATCTATTTATTTGAAATATATTTCGCATAAACCTTAATTAATTTCTTATTTAATAGTTTGCGCCATGAGATTACCAGATAAAACGGCCTGACTTTGAAGTGTAACATCGCCTTGCCTTTGGTTTCACTTTTTGTAGCCATAGACATTTACAATTTCTAAATAATGCATTCTTAAAGAGACTGTCATGAGTGCAATATTAAGTGATCCTTCATGGCAAAGATGTGAAAGCCTGGTTTAAAGCGGTAACATCAAAAGTTTTACCTGATCAGATATAAATAAGATTGATATCAATTTTTTAAAATCTTCCACATAAAGATAAGATAAAGGTTTCAAGGAAACCGTTCTTCCAATCGGGTATTGCCATCTTTGCATGGAGGGTATCTTGGTATTACGCTTACAGTCCCTTTAAAGATGCATTATTTTAAAAGGGTGGTCAATATTTTTAAGGGCAAAAAGTGTTTATATGTTTTGTTTTTAATCTTTAATTCATAAATTAAAAATTTATTCTAAAATCATTTTTGGGAATTTCTTTATCTTTATGCTTTTTCAATCCTTTATACCACAACTATCTAGGGTTTTGGAGCAAAGCTTTAAGCAGTTTGAAAAAGAAATAATGAAAAGATGTATTTATATATTTTGTGCGGAATAGAATTACAATACTCTAACAGTAACATAACTATAGGCTTAGAAATAAAGAGAGTTTTGCAACATTGATGAAAACTTATCTTTACAACTATTCTTAGGGTATAGATAGACTATTTAATATCACATTTTTCAAAACAGGAAAAAAATGAGAAAATGAAGAAAAAATACTACATACAAACTCAAATCTTATGCTGTTCTACTTAAGTTTTTTCTTCCAAAACAAAATTTTGTTCACAATTTTTTGGATAAAAATTACAATCTTTTTTAAAATTAACCAAATATCAAAGCAACAAAAATCTAAAATAGCTGCAAAAAAAATGATTAAAACAACATCTTTAAAAAATTCGAATTAACTCTGAAAATGTTGAATTTTTTTACATTTAAATGAAAAGTTGTTAAAATCATATAAAACATTACGTATTACATTATATTTACATTTAACAATTATTCTTGTTTATTAAGTTTAATATATTGCATTTTATTGTAATTTGAGTAATATATAAGGTTGATACAGTGGTAACCAGAAAACAGTGGAATCATATTCGTATTAGTTTTTACCATTGACAAGAATTCCAGCCAAGCATTAAAAAGTCCTTAGTGATATATCTACATAATAAAACACTACATTCGTATATATATATATATATGCTGCGTATAGCCGGCCATGCAAACGGCTGGACCGATTGGGCTGAATTTTTGTGGACACTCATGGGTTTTCAACATTTCTTTAGAACTTTTTTTTCAAATTTTTTGTTCCACGGGCAACGCCGGGCCCTTCAGCTAGTTCATGAATAAAAGAAAGGATATAGGCGTCAATCCTTCCACTGTTTTTAATCACTACTGTAAACATTTTTTTGAATGAAAAAACCCAATTTTTGTGATGCATGAATAACATATCTAAATACAATCATATAAAGAATATTATTTAAAGATTATACAAGGGCGTTATATACATGATCTATTCATGGAGGGGGGATTCTTTCTTTACCCCCCCCCATAAGTGAGATTTTTTTTGGGTGATCTAATATCTTAAAACGGGAAAAAATGATTTTAAGATGCACTTACCCCTTTTTAGATAACGCCGCAATATTATAACATCAAAATATCAATTATATTCTCATATAACAGTTATTAATGGGGAATAATTTGGTTCAATTATTTCAAATTTTTCTGGAATTATGAGACTTAATTAAATTTTTATTCCATTAAAAAGTTTCAAGATATTGCGCTGTCAAAGTTATCTTTCCATTTAATATTTTGGTGAAATGTAAAAAAAGCTAATTTTTGGATTTGGAATCAACAATTAAAAAATTTACCGATTTTTAAAATTTAAAATGCTATTTAAAAAATGAACCTATAGTTAATGCCCAGAGTCTGAATTTAATGAATTTGAGCCGCGTCCCAAATCCACCGAAAACCGGTTTCAATTGAGCGCCGGCTTAAATCTTGAAACGTTTCATACAATTTTAAGTGGAACCCACCATATTTGAGCCGCGGTTTAAATTTAAGCAGCGGCTCCAATTCTTTAAATTCGGCCTCAGTCTATACAATATGAAAAATATTATACGTCGTATACAAAAAATCAAACCACTGGAATACAATATAATACTATAATATCATACAAGCAATACATAATACAATAATATCATAATAATATGATATTAATTGAATACAATAATTGACAATTGAGTAGATAGGTATAATAATATTGTAGATTTTTAATATTCAAGATCAAAAAATAATTCAGTGTTCGAAAAAAAATATGTTGCTCTATTTTGGTATTATTTCTTAAGCTGGTAAACTTAAATTTTTTATTTTTTATTAAGAAAAAGTTCGTTTGTTTCTTTACAGAAGTCATATCTTAAAACAGTTTGGTTACAAAGGAAAAAAGAAAAGTTTTTTCTCTGTTTTTTGGTTTATTTTTGAGCTGCTGTAGGTGATGTTGCGATCTAGCATTTCTGAATCTTTAATACTGATCTAATTCTGAGATATATTTTCTATTTAAACAGATTTCGAGACACCGGGGACTTTTTCACACCTAAAACAAAAGAATTTCTAAAAAAAACAAAAAACATATATAATATATATATATATATTATATATAATATTTCAGCCTTTTGGCCACTTTATCTTTAAAGTTTACAATCTTTATAATGTTAGAGATAATAACATAAATTCTATCCTCACTTAAGGCTAAAAACTGGGCTTTTATACCTACTCCTTAAGTCCTCAGGCATACTGCCTAAATGACTTATTTTACCTAAACCAGACTCTTTGGAAAGCCTAAAACAAAAGCAAGCAAATTGCACAAATTTTGCAAAGAAATTTTGCACAGATTTTTGCACAAACGCCTTCAAAGAGAATTTGCACATTTTTTCTTGAATACACATTAGGTTTTAAAAATTTTGCAAAGGTTTTTGCATATTTGAACTCGCTGGGTCAAGAGTTTTTTCAAAAATATATAATTTGTAGCAATTTGCGCATTTTTTTGTGGAAATTTTTGCTTAATAACTAAATTTCGCAATAAATATTTAGATTTGTACAAATTTGCCATTTTTTTTGCAGTTTATTGAGGTTATAGACCCCAAAGGGCTTTCAAAAAACCTATCAAATGTTATAGATTTGTATCATAATAAAAAAGTAGAAGGGGGGCCTCCTCAGGCAGCCAGTCAGTAAACCAGACGTCAGGCTGAATAGGGTTAAGAGAAACTCAGAGAAAGCTGTCATACAATAAACAGGGAATTCAGTGACGAATTCGATATCGTCTTTACAAATAATTCTTTGATTTAGTATAGTGATATCTACTGAGAAAGTGTATAAATCTATAAGAGTTTCGTCTGCTATGTTCACATTTTGTTTGTTTATGTTTTGACTGCATACGGTTGTACTTAGTAAAACAAGAAAATAGCAGTATACAAACAGAGTAAACTTGTCCGTCTTCACTGTTCATCTTGCGGAGACATTTTTGACACGTATTTACAGTCTTTTACCCTATTCATAAAATAACTTCTAGCAGACATAATAATATTATGGCTTTTGAAATCAGGTATTACAATGCTAATTCATAACAAAGACTATATCCAATTCGTCACTGAATTCCCATGTGTTTTGGGACACCCTGTTCAATCCAGCCAACAAGAAAGAATAACAGTGACTGAGCTTCGCATTTTTGATTTGTTTTTGCAAACATTTCTCTCAGAGCGAAAATTAAAATTTCGCATACTGTTAAATAAGCAAATGTTTTAAAATCATTTATTCTAAACATTTGTTTATCTTACATTATGCCTAATTTTGACTCTATGAAAAAAATAGGCAAAAAACAAACAAATTTTATCAATATAATGAAGACAATTTTCAGTTTCAATTTTGATTTATATCAAGCTTTTAAACATCATGGATACACAAAAACATGGAAACAAATTGAAGCTGTCAATTAAAAAAGCTTCTCTTTTGTAATTTTTTTTTCGAGAAAAGCTTGTTAACAATTGAAACTTAAATAAAAAAGTCGTCTTCATATTGATATAATCGCCTACCACCGTATCTACCTGTTCCTTGTGGAATATCAGCTGACGGGGTTCTCTCTCTAAAATTAGTTTTCTCTCCTGTCCTAGCGTTGAGGGATGTATATCCAGAGTTAGTCTCATTTCTCATCTGGTTAATCGTAGAAAAACCTTTGTTAGAATTAGTGAACCCTTTGTTAGAATTAGTGAACCCCTTGTTAGAATTAGTGAACCCCTTGTTAGAATTAGTGAACCCCTTGTTCGAGTATTGCTTGGGACTGGTAGGGGATTTGTGTGGGCTGGGCGGCCCGAAAATCAGCTGTGATGGGTTGGAGGATTTTCTGGTGCTGATAATGGCTTTCTTCTGTACAACAAAATGGTCGCCTTCTTTTACTTTGTACATGTACAATTCCTGCAGAAAAAATAAGGCTATACAAAAGAATATGATAATAATGGCAATAATAATAATAATGGAAACAATAATGGAAATAATAATAATAATAATAATAGTAATCATAATCATAATCATAATCATAATCATAATCATAATCATAATCATAATCATAATCATAATCATAATCATAATCATAATCATAATCATAATCATAATCATAATCATAATCATAATCATAATCATAATCATAATCATAATCATAATCATAATCATAATCATAATCATAATCATAATCATAATCATAATCATAATCATAATCATAATCATAATCATAATCATAATCATAATCATAATCATAATCATAATCATAATCATAATCATAATCATAATCATAATCATAATCATAATCATAATCATAATCATAATCATAATCATAATCATAATCATAATCATAATCATAATCATAATCATAATCAT